GCGCCAGCTCGCGAGCGACGCCCTCCCGCCGACGAGGCCCGTGCTCATCTGCCGAGCGGGCCGGCGAAAACATCCTGCTTCGATCGGATTCGTAGCCATGGAAACGCGCCGGGCACTTTGAAGCGGGCGTTACGTCGTCGTGGCGACGGTGTGGCGGCGCCGGGCGCCGGCTGCGTGTCGCGCTCGGCTCGGGCTCGGAGTCGCCGACCGTCCGACTCGGCGACAGCCGCGCACCATTAGTGGCTGAGTGGCTATTTGTTGGGCAATGCGCGGCCCGATGGTCAGTGCTCTGGGGAATCCGGTGAATGATGAGTCGACATGCAGGGCGCCATCATGGAACACACGCAGGAAACGCTGCGCGGAGATTGTCGGGTTAGACCGGCGCTCTCGCGTGCCGGTGTGTTTGTATTCTGCTGCGATCGCAGGGGGCGGGGCGGCTCGTCTTTGGACGATAGAGCGTCGCTCTCGACTATGACTCGGTTCCGCATTCACGCGCAGGAGATTGAGAGTGATCCCTTCTGTCGTCGGCAGAGCGTCGCCGGACGAACGCCCTCTCTCTCTCTCTCTCTCTCTCTCTCTCTCTCTCTCTCTCGACTCCCTCTCTCTCTCTCTCTCTCTCTCTCTCTCTCTCTCTCTCTCTCTCTCTCTCTCTCTCTCTCTCTCTCTCTCTCTCTCTCTCTCTCTCTCTCTCAAGCTCCTGTGATCCAGGTGATAGACCGTCTGGGTTCTTATTGGAGTACCTATTTCATGTCCCGGCTACAGCAGTGGTAAATGGCGAGCACCACTCACTACTTTTCCCGATGAAGTCGTTTGAAGTTGAAATAGGCGTAGGTAAAACGGCCCCGTCGCCATTTTTAATTTTAATGGCGAACACCACTCACTACTTTTCCCAATGACGTCGTTTGAAGTTGAAATAGGCGTAGGTAAAACGGCCCCGTCGCCATTTTTAGCACTACGACTAAAGACAGAGCGTTGAGTCACTTGCGTGAGAGCGTTGCTGGTTAAAGGTAGTGTGCCAGCTTTCTTGGACCATATGGAGTTAATGACCCGGATAAGGAGAACCGGATTTTTAGAACTTATCCATACCTTCAAAACTTATGGAAACGTCTTAAATTCTTCAAATTTTGAGTACCCCAGTGCGAAATTCGCCCCGACGGGTTGTCGGTCGTACCCCAACCACATTTCACACCACTATGAACAATAAATGCACACACTAAAATCGCTATTACCGATAGGCTCATCCAATCAAGTTTCGATAAACCCGTTCATCATCATCTCCTGCGGTTTCGAACACGCCTGTTAGGTGGCTTCTGATGCTCGTCGAGGTCGGAATTTCCAAATACGCGTGGTGCGTCGGGCCGCGCGCTCTGACTTCGGCCAAGAAAAATGCGTCAGCTGATCATTGTCATTTCTGCCACTTGCGTGTGGTGTAATGGGGTCATAACATAAGAGACGGCTGTTTCATATCAATTATTTTACATAAAATCATATTTCAAACCACAAATTAATGTTCGACAGCCAAATTTAAGAAACAATACCAATACAGGCTTACAGTTTAAGGCTCGACATTGTGTTGTCTACGATTAGACAGCTGATAACTCATTCCCGTACGTCGTATGGTCGTAACACTATAATGACCTTTGCTTATTGTCACAAGTGCGCCGCATTCGCGATTGTTGCCCGACGCCTGTTTGCAGGTGAGCCCACTACAGTTGTTATACATATCTAAAAACCGATAAACTTTTAGGCGAAAAAGGCACTATTCCAGGCCCATTTTTGATTTTTTTTTTTGCGATATTAGGTAAAAACAGAAGCTTCTTATCCTAGGAAAAATAAAACGGGAAATCTTTCAAAGGTGGCACACTACCTTTAACCCGCGCCCCACTGGGGGGGGGGCTATTTATAGCCCCCCCTCCCGTTTTTCTGCAATAACTTCCAAACCGCTTGACGTATCAACGCCAAACTTTCAGTACCTTTGGCTGCATCAATTTGACACCTTGTGTCAAAATTTGAACTTCGTAGCTACCATTGGTCGGCCGGAAATGACGTCAGAGTGACGTCATGTTCGGCCGATATCGACGCAAAACATTGAACCACGGCAATCGCTCCCAAGGGCTCAGTTTTTAAGCTAGATCCAATTTCTTTGCATGAGAGGACTCAGAATAGACTGCGCTATCAAACTGCTATCTCGGATTTTCGAAATTTTGAAAATTTTGAAAATGTTTATAATAAAATTCAAAATTTACATTTTTACATTGTTTTTCAAAAAGTTTTTGACTTTTCGAAAAAACCGGAATATATGTGATAGAACGCGATATTATGAATAACTCTAGCAAGTTTTAGCTAAATATCTTCAAAAATGGCCAAGTTATACGCATTATTGCAAAAAATTCACAATTATTAATTTTTCAAATCAATTTTTCACCACGTATTTGACATCGTACGCCAATATAAATAGCACCATCGTGTTCCTGAGCTCAAACTGCATCCAATAGACACCTTTTCTGTTGAAAAATTATAACTTCAAAATTTGACCTTTTTTGACCTGAAAGTGACCTGACCTAAGCTAAATTCGACTCAAAATGACCTCGAATGACACAGAAGACATCAAATTCGAAATCTTTGGCCTAAATGGACCATAAAACATGTGTCACGTGACCGACGCATGATATAATATTTTCGTGACCTGTGATGACCTGACCTTGACCTGAAAATCAAAGTACAAGTTTGGTACCCTCAGGGTATCTAGAGCATCTGTTCACGAGTGTGTGAACCAAAAATGAGCCTGATCTGACTTGTAAGACGGCGGCCAGAGCCCAAAACGTGAACAAGCCAAGATGCTAATAATTTTTACTTTGACCTGACCTGTGACGTCATCGGTGACCTCGAGGTCAATGAAATTAGGTTTCGCTCGACAGTTTTTCCGGGGCTATCAGACGCCGTTTGAATTTTGACGATCGGCCCAGTAGTTTCGGAGTTAGGAGGGGGGGCTATGAATAGCCCCCCCCCCCCCCAGTAGGGCGTATTTTACGCAGACCCCAGTGGGGCGCGGGTTAAGGAGCACGATCAACATTGAAGGGACCGAAGGGCAAAGGCTATAAAAAACGTACAAGAACTGGTGGTGCTCTGCACCGCTGCCTATACCTACACTACCTAAGTGCCGAATGTCCCGAGCACAGAGGACACTTAGGTACCTATAGGTAATACTGGTTCAGAGATCCTCCAGTCACATTGATGTAGGTCCTCGCAGTGCCGCATGGATGTAAAGCCTGTGCACGGCGTGCCTTGTGGGACCGCGGTGACACAAATGAAAACGGATCGAGCAAATAATGTCTCCCTTAGCGCCGAGCGCGGATATTGCCGGTGGGACTTGGGAGTTTGATATGGGCTACGACGCCATGACCTTAGGATGGCATTAAATTGAGCGGGACATCCTCGGTCATTCTGCTGAAAAAAATGCACTTCAAATCATCCCGAGAACTTGCGCCTCGCGGCTCGCACCCCACTGGCACCGCTCTGCGGCGTTGTGCTCTGTCGGCCACCGCTAGCGACTGTGTGGGTATACTGTACCGCACGACACGGGAGCCGTGCGGTGCAGTATACCCACGCTCACCGCCAGCCGCACGGTCCGGCGGCGGCTCCGAAAGTGACAGCGGCTGCCTCGCAGCCTGAAGCTCGAGGCTCCGGGTTTTTGGTAATGCACAATGGTATACGATATACGGTATGCAGCTGGCAGAAACGTCTTAACTAAAACATAGAGATAGCAGGATACCGCCAGTGGCTAATGCGTAACACGGTGTAACCGTCAGGGGATGAAAGTCGCGGACATCGGTCCTTGCCTTCCTCAGGGCAAACCCATCCCATCCGCATCCCCAAGCACACTTTCCTTTGTGGGCTAGCGGTCACCCCACCAGAGAACCGCTGGTGAGGGCAAGTCCTTGTTGGACAGACAGACAGAGAGCAGCCTTCTTCGGGCTGACCGTTTGAGCGGCGTGGGGTGTCCTATCGGGCATTGACGTTCCACCGGAACGGTTCGCAGTGGTCGGTGGTCCTACATCCCATCCTATCACCCCATAGCTGTATGATAGCCTTTCCTGACCGAAATAACTTTCATCTAACAAAAAAAAAAAAAAAAACGGCGGGCCGCGGCCATACTCCAGCACTTCTCGGCCGATCTCTTCGGCGTAATGCGGCCCCGGCCTCCGCCAGCTCCTTTTGCGTGTGTTCCAGCTCTCCCTAGCTGAAAGACGCCAAAGCTTTGCTGACAGAACAATGAAGAGCATGCAGTTGAGACTTAAGGCCGCCGTCCACTGTGCGGAACGCGTGCGGTCCGTACGGAATTTAACACAGAACCCTATGGGCGCATCCGGTCCGTACGGAAATCGTGTGCGCTCCGTCCGGACCGCATCCGAACGGCAATCAGCTGTTGATTTTCCGTCAGCTCTCCGCATGCGTTTCGGATGCGGTTGCTACGGAGACGGAAGAGTGATGTCCGACGCGTTGAACTTTTCTGCGGAAAACGCATCCGGAACGTCCGGAACAGACGTGGTTTGGGGCCGTATCGGAGGCAAACATTGTGAATTGTACGAAGAATTGGAACTCGATCATCATGAAGTAAGTAAAAATTATTTCCTTAGAATGGCAAGAGTATTCGCTGCTGGTTACTTGCAATATTTTATTTGGTAATAAGTGATAGGAAACATTTATTAGCTCTCCGCATCCGGACCGCATCCGGACCGCATCCGGACCGGATGCGGCCAGCGTGCGGCGACATTCCGGACGGACTCCGGACGGAATTCCGCACCAGTGGACGGCGGCCTTTACAAATTTTTACGCAATCTCTAAAACGCATTCCGTGAGTTCCGGTACGTCCAGCCTAAACTTATGAGCACCATTGTTCTGCCCTTTCGGAAAACCCCCTTGTCAAAGAATAATCTCCCGCCCATTAGCGATGCCAATGAATCCAACGCCACGAAACACGACCAAAGTAAAGACCCGTGGAAAAATAACAAGGTTTTATTCTTGCCACATCTACGATGGACCCAGAGCTCTTCGGCCGACAACCGAGCCTCGAGTCGGACACACTGCTTTTATCTGGACTAAAAAGACAAATAAATAAAAGCAGTTTCGGCCACAACAGGAAAAAAATCACGCAATAATACACATATTTAACAGCCGTCTAAACACAGCGACCATCAACACGGACTAAAAAAACTGCCTACAAGTTACATCATTCCCAGTAAATTGTGTGCCATCGCTGGGTATGAAGATCAACACGCTCAAAAGCAGCTCTCGGCTGACAACGGTCACAAAATGGCGCCTAGTAACACTCAGGAGAGGGTTGGTCATCCAATGACGTCATGAACTACTGTACATGAAGTCCTGCATCTGTGTAATGTGTATGAATTTCTCCCTCCGTCAGCGGATCGCCATGGAAACCGGCGGCCGCCGGCGCGGCCATTTGTAACCGGAGGAAGGGGCGGCGTGATGACGTCATCTCTGTGCAGTGCGCGGTGACGTCACCGCCTGCAGCCAGCTCCAGTCGGCCGGGACGGCGCGTTACGTGATGTCGACAACGGCTGGGGGACCGGTCGGCTTGTCGCCGTCCTGGCCCCTCTTCTGGAAACGGGCGGGGAGAAAACACTGGTTACAAACATAGCAAAGAAACAGCCATACATTTCATACATGCTCGGTGGCCTATTTCGTTCTGGCCGGCAGTGCCGCCGCCTGCCGGGCGACCCTGAGTGACACGGGTCAGCCAGCTGAGAGTGGCCGGGGTCAGTGGCGCCGCCGCAGTTCGGGTACGGAGCCCGCCATTTGCGATCGGATGCGTTGTGAGCTTTTATTGCAACTGCCAGCGAATAAGAGTATGTGCGAGTGCTAATACACGCAAGACGGTACAGAGCAAGACGGCCTGACGGTATCTTTGACCTAAAACTCCAGTTAACCCGCGACCTGGTGGGGGGGGGGGCTATTTTTTGCCCCCCCCCCTCCAGCCTTTTCGATATATCTCCAGAACCGCTGCGCCGATCGTCACCAAACTTTCAGTACCCTCCCGGACATCAATTTTACACATTGTGACCAAAAATTTTTCCAAAGGCTATGATAGGTTGGCCGGAAATGACGTCAGAGTGACGTCATGTTCTGCCGTTTTCGACCCAAAAAAGGGTTTCGCGGGAAGAGCTGTCAGGCCTATAGCTTTGCAAATACAGAAAAATGATTAAGACATAAAAGCTGTAGATTAGACAGGGCTACAAAACTGCTATCTCGGATTTTTAAAATTTTTGGATTTTGACCCCCAAAAATCAAAAAATAGATATTTTGGATATAATAATCGAAAAATTCAAAAAGTTTTTCGAATTTCGCAAAAAACGGAATATATGTGATAGTCCTTACCGCCTTTAATCCACATACCAAATTTGAGATTGATACCTCTTTTTTGGCGAAGTTATAGCGAAAAAACTGTTCAAAATTGACGACGTCAAATTTTCAAAGTCAATTTTTAGCCATTCTAGACCCCGTAGCGCAAAACAAAGCCCACCATTAGACTCCCCGTGACGAGCTGCATCGAATCAATACCCATTTTATGCAAAACTATCAACTTTAAAATTTGACCTTTTTGGTCTGACCTTGACCTGACCTTGACCTGAACTTCACCAGAAAGTGACCTAAGCCGTACCTGATAGTCTTATAACCACCACCGTTGAGTTGGAAATGAAAAATTGGCCATAAAACATGTATCACACAACCTTAGTAAAGTTGGGCTCATGTGACTTGACCTGTGACCCTTGGTGACCTGACCTGTGACCTGACCTGGTATTGCCAGTGGCCTCTAATAGCAACATATCTACTAGGCAACTGACGCCCTACCGCTGATTCTCGACAAAATGCGTTTTCCTCGGTGTTATAGCGCATTCCCTAGAAGACCCGTGAACGGTGAAACATTTCATCTTTAACCTGACCTGTGACGTCATCGGTGACCCCGAGGTCAATGAAATTTGGTTTCCTTCGACAAATTTGACAGGCCTTTCGAACGCCGTTTGAATTTTGCGGATCCGTCCAGTAGTTTCGGAGATACGAGGGGGCAAAAAATACCCCCCCCCCCACCAGGTCGCGTTATAAACAGACCCCACCAGGGCGCGGGTTAAATAATAATACAAAACTGAACAAGGGGCCAACACTGTCGGCCCCTTGATCAGTTTTGTTACACAACCAACCAATTACCCAACCAATACGTAATTTTTTACACAACCAACCAATTACCCAACCAATACGTAATTTGTTACACAACCAATTACGTCCAAACATGTTCGTCCCCTATATCATCATTTCATACGTGAACTGAGCACCAACCTCCGGCCGGCTGCTCGGCGCTGCTGGAGTTGGAGCCGGCTGAACCCGCTGCACGGAGAGTCCCTGCGGCAGCTGCATACTGCCCGTTCCCATGGAGCGCTGCAGGGCGGCGGCCAGCTGCTGCTGGTGCGCCGGGCCCGGCACGTGCGCGGTCCGCTGCCGGCCCGGCCCGGCGCTGCCCGCGGCGGCGGCGGCCGGCGGTCGACCCCGGGCCGGCGGCGGCGCTGCGCCGCGCACCGCGCCCGGCGCCTGGCCCGGGGCGCGCTGAGCGGCCATCAGCTTCAGCAGCTGCGCGTACGCCGCGTGGTCGATATTGGGCCGCTGGTGGCCGCCTGAGAACGGAGGTGACGGCCAAACGGTTACATATCATGCCTCAAGGACAGGTAAGCGATTTCGGCAAGCTCATAAGACAGAAGATAACATGTCTGTGCTGACCACAAATGGAATTGTGACAAATGGCACAAGTGATGCATCAGCTTTAACAATGAAAAATATGATGCCTTTTTGTAACCTTCGGCTTGTCTTGTACATAAATACAGGGGGATTTCAAAATTTACTGCCGACCAGCCCAGCCGACGCGTTTCGCCCCGTATCTGCCCAGTGCGTTCTCAGCTCGGCGCCGCCTACCGTGAAGGGCGTGCTGTGAGAACATGCTCTGCCGCTGCAGCTCCAGCGTCTGTCGATACTGCTCCTCGCGCGCGCGCTGCTCGGCCTGCTGCTTCTTGAAGTAGTAGGCGCGCAGCGTCTGAATCGCCTTCGGGATCATCAGCAGCACCTCGTTCTCGGTGGCCGTCGGGTTCTGCCGGCCAGACAGAGGGTGAGGAGGTCAGAGGGGTCCGGTGGTGGGGTGAACACCACGGCGGGAACGCCACGACACAGCATCAAACCGGCCGCACTGCAGTAGGCATTTCTGAGCTGGAACTCGGGTAGATACAAATAACACAAATTTAATCAAGGAACGGATTCACATATAGAAACACGACACACAGCATATCCTGAGAACGCTGGGTCACTGCGATCGGTAATGCTCTCACTAGTAAGGTCGATCTCGGGCGCCCATGCCCCCTCCCCCATTCCCGCACGGCGCACTCTCTGTCCCAGCCGCCGCGGGGCGCCTCCCGCCCGCCCAGCGTTCGTTCGCTACTCACGTCCTTCTTGATCATCTCGATGACTGTGGCCTTGTCGATGGCCTTTCCGTCCACCAGCGGGATGATGTCTCCCACTGCGAACACGGACGACATTTGATCGTCACTCACAGACCGGCAGAGACAGTGAGAGACACACGGACAATAAAAAGAGGGATTACATTGTATCGGCAACAGTTTCAAGGGCAACAAACCTATTCACTGCACGCACAGCCTAATGTACGTTTGAAAAAGGAGTCATCATCGACGTTAATATGAGGGTATCAGTGTCGGTATCCGTATCTGTGTCAGTGTCAGTGTCTATTTGTCTGTGTCAGTATCGGTGTCCCTGTCAGTACTCTGTATCTGTACCTGCACCAGCACTGGCGCCCGTGCCGTCGCCGGTTGACCCACCGTTGGGTATTCCTCGCCGGTCGTTCTCGTACTCCTCCCAGGCGGCGCGCTGCTCATCGGCGTTCAGCTCCTCGTCGGCCACGTTCTGCAGCAGCGAGTCGTGTCCGTGCACGCTGCTGACCCACTGTGTCTGCTCCGAGACCAGCTCCATCAGCACCAGGTCGTCCTGACCGGGACACAAGGGGGGACAGAGGTCAGTGATGACGCTCAGGGTAGGTTGTGTGGGTTACTGGGGCACTGGTCAGACGCCAACGAGGGCAACCTAAGGAGGCTGGGGAGCGGAGGTCAGGTCAGGATGGTCACACGTGGGGGCCAGACCTCGCGGGAGTCAGCTCGCAAAGATCAGATCACAGAGGTCAGGTCAGGCAGAAGTCACCAATGTGTCGCCGTCCGCCGGGCATGGCCAGGTCAGCACGTCTTCGCAGAGCTACCTCGCCAGCGCATAGCATCCTCTTTCCAAAACCTCCCAACACACCGTTAGTTAGTCTGAGCCGTCCAGGACCGCACCGGCGCGGCCGCGCGGAGTCTCACCTTGGGTACGATCAGGCCGGTGGTCCGTTTGCGGTCGGGCTCGAACTCGTACAGCTCCTCGACGTCGTGCTGGCTGAAGTGGCGCTCCACCTGCTGTTCGTCCACAACGCGGCACGACAGCGACAGCTTGCTGATCTGGCGGTCGTAGATCTTCTCCTCCATGCAGCCCTGCAGTGACGGGGAGGTGGGGGCTAGTCATACGGTGCCGCCGCTGGAACAGGTATCAATCCGACTGCCATCAGACTGACAGCAATGGCAAGAAGCCGACGCTGCCCAGATTTGAGGAAATTGCCCCGCAAATAAACATACTGACAGCCGACAATAACGATTACCAATGACCCAAATACATTGCATACCGCTGTACACAAAACCTCATTTACACGAGTTGATCCAAACATCCAAACCACAAATGATGCCCTATGACCAGGTACCCCACTGCCCCTTTCCCATCCCGAGTGCCCCCACCTGCGCGATGAACCGGTACACGTAGGACGGCTTGACCTGTCCGAACCGGTACACTCGGAATATGGCCTGGGAGTCGGCCGTCGGGTTCCACGAGGCGTCGAAGATGACCACCCGGTTGGCGCCGACCAGGTTGATGCCCAGTCCGCCGGCCTTTGTCGAGATCAGCATCAGCCGCGCCCTGGTGGCCGACAGCGGTTAGCCCGATACAGTTTGTTTATAAACCATCAACGGGCCATCAGCCCAATGACAGACGATGAAGCTAGGTGATGAAAGGGATTAAAACTAGGAATTCTGAGAGGCCATCAACCATTATCGTTAACCGTAGTTAGCGACGTTGAATCACAAACGATCAAGGATCAACACATTTGACGCTAAAAGCAAAATATTGAGGTTATAGCAAGTCACTGTACATTGTACAACGAAGGTTATCAAACATGGGCCGCTGTCATCAGACCCGTATTTAAAGATTATCTTCCTCCGCTACCACTGAGTACGGCCCTCTGTTCAGCCTCCGATCAGCGGCCCCGCGGCGGCGGCGGCGGCCCGTGCTCTGACCTCTCGTTAGTAGCCTTGTTGATCCGGTCACACATCAGCTGGCGTCGCTCCTCCGACGTGCTGCCGTCCAAGCGGAAGTAGTCGTAGTCGGGCTTCCACGTGCCGAAGTAGACGTGCGACGGGTGCTTTTTGCCCGAGTTTCGGCTGCTCTGCATGTCCTTGTGTAGCCGCTCCAGGTGCTCCTCGATCAGGTTCAGGGTGAACAGCGACTGACTGAACACCAGCCTGCGCGAGCACACACGACCGAGTGAGAACGCGGGCTGGAAGAGCGGTACAACCCGACCAGGTAACAGCTGAGATCGCGGCTCTCCGGCTCAGCAACTAAACAAAACGGTACTGAACACAGCAGCTGCAGTGACCCATGTAGCAAAACCTTTGGATACAGAACATACAACATGGGTGAAAAACACCCAAACAATAATTAAGAGGCAACATGTCAGTAAAGTTGACATGAACATTGAACACTCACACCACTGCCGTTCCCCGCAACCCTCCCCCCCTCCGTTGATCCGGGCGGCGCTCGCTACTCACAGTTTGTCTCCGATGTTCTCGCACTTGATGAGCAGCTGGTCGAGCAGCGTCAGCTTCCCGCTGAGACCGGCGTCCTCGAACAGCAGGTCGTCCGGAATACAGGAGCGCCACCACTCCGAGTCGTCGGCCTGATCGGCAGCGCCGCCACCGTTCTCTGTCCGAGGTCAGGGGGCAGGGTCAGTGGGAGGTCAGAGGTCAGTGGGAGGTCAGGGGGCAGTGGGAGGTCAGAAGCAGGGTCAGTGGGAGGTCAGGGGGCAGGGTCAGTGGGAGGTCAGGGGGCAGGGTCAGTGGGAGGTCAGGGGGCAGGGTCAGTGGGAGGTCAGGGGGCAGGGTCAGTGGGAGGTCAGGGGGCAGGGTCAGTGAGAGGTCAGGGGGCAGTGAGAGGTCAGGGAGAGTGAGAGGTCAGGATCAGTGGGAGGTTACAGTGAGGGGCCGGAAGTCAATGACAGGTCAGGGGGAGTGAGAGGTCATGGGTCAGTGGGAGGTCAGGGGCAGTGAGAGGTCAGGGGGCAGTGGGAGGTCAGGGGGCAGGGTCAGTGGGAGGTCAGGGGACAGGGCCAGTGGGAGGTCAGGGGGCAGTGAGAGGTCAGGGGGCAGTGAGAGGTCAGGGGGCAGTGAGAAGTCAGGGGTCAGTGGGAGGTCAGGGGCAGTGGGAGGTCAGGGGCAGTGAGAGGTCAGGGGGCAGTGAGAGGTCAGGGGGCAGTGAGAGGTCAGGGGACAGTGGGAGGTCAGGGAGAGTGAGAGGTCAGGATCAGTGGGAGGTTACAGTGAGGGGCCGGAAGTCAATGACAGGTCAGGGGGAGTGAGAGGTCATGGGTCAGTGGGAGGTCAGGAGGAGTGAGAGGTCAGGGGTCAGGGAAGAGTGAGAGGTCACGGATATGCGGCAGATTTCAGACTTCAGAGGTCAGTGCCAGATGTCGCAGACATGATTCGGAGACTTCTTAAAAGAAGATTACACAACTACGACAGCATATTGCAGCTGGCCATGACTGAATTATATCGCTATAATGCTGGCAACATCATCCTCTTCGGAGGCAGCTTACCTTCTGTCTTATCAGCTCCATCCTTCGAGTTTTCCTCTTCTGAAGACGAGTCGTTTGCTACAAAACGCTCCATCGCCTCCCGCTCCGTTCTCTAAGGAAACAAACAGATGACTGGAATTCAACGATCATACAGTCGTTCACTAACCGATTAGCAGTAAACACAACGACACAAAAAACGTATAAATATCAAACACTGTAATAGGTACGGATGTTTCTTTAATACGTCCCACAATGCGAGCTCTGGGAGCAACAACTTCGTGCCGACATTTCCTTTAACGCCACCCTCTCTCTCCCTCCCTCTTTCCGTCCTCACCATTTCCTCTTTCTCGTCGTCCTGCTCATCCTTCATCTGGATGGAGCGTGGGTGGGTCCACACGCGGCTCAGCGCCTGGAAGTCGGAGAGCACCTTGCGTGTGCTGCTGGAGCGCGCCTTCTCCAAGTAGTTCTGGTAGAGCTTCTTCTGGAGGTCGCTCAGCTTCACCATAAGCGTGAACTCCAGCTTGGGCGGCAGGAACGGCATCAGCACGTTGTAGTCGCGTCTCTGCGGACAGCGGTCGGCGGCGGTCAGACACGGCGCACAACAGACGACGGGGCCGAAATGGCGGCTGCTGGTTCAGGAGTTAGGAATTAACGTCAACAAACAACTCAAAGACGGACACAGTGAAACTTGAGCACTCAGCCACAAGGGAAACATTTCGCGCGGTGGTTTAAGTCCCAATAAAACGATGCGTACGCAGCAGGAAATTTGAGGGGAACTACATTCATAAGAATATTGAGAATACTTTATGTTTTCACCAGCAAGTTTAATGAGAATTACGTAGCGTTTTCGCGTATCTGCCGCGAGCCGAGAAACGTACCTGCACCACACTGTTGAGCAGCTTGTGCAGCACGTGCGAGCGTCGCTTCATGAGCTTCACGTCGCGGGGCAGGGCGTCCACGGCCGAGCCGTTCTCGATGGGCCGGATGAAGCGGTTGCTGAACTCTGACTCGCTGCCGAGCAGGCGCGGCTTCACGAACTCCACCATGGTGTGGTACTCGCGGAGGTTGTTCTGTAGCGGCGTGCCCGTCAGGATCACCCGGCGGCGACACTTCATCTGGTTCAGACTCTTGAACGCCGCCGTGCGCGGATTCTTCAGCAGGTGACCCTCGTCGCAGACGACAATGTCCGGGCCGGGGTCGATGAGCGCGCTCTGGAAGCGGTCCTTCTGCTTTTTGACGTAGCCCTTTTTGCCGCCGGTGCCGCTGAAGCGTTTGAACATGTCGTAGCTGAGCACGCAGACGCCGCCCTCGGTGCGCCACTGCTCCAGCTCGAAGGAGCGCTCGTAGTTGTCCTTGCGGAAGGTGATGTCCACCACGTCCACCTCTGGCACGCGGCACTTCTTCTGCCAGCTCTTCAGCTCGCGCACCCAGTTCTGGACCGTGTTCTTGGGGCAGACGACCAGCGCGCAGGAGACCTTGTCGCTGGTGGCGGCACTGTCCAGTAGCGTGTGCAGCAGCACCACCACCTGCAGCGTCTTCCCCAGACCCATGCAGTGCGCCAGAATGCAGCCCGCGTTGTCCTGGTTGGTCTCGTCCTCCAATCGCGCCACCGACTCGATGGTGCTGTCGAACATGAACTTGACGCCGTCCACTTGATGCGGCTTCAAGATCTTGACAAAGTTCTTGTGCACAGACACCAGTGGTTTCTTGGTCTCAGGGTCAAAGTCCAGCACGAGCTTATCGAGGGCAGTCGACTCTTCCGAGGCGGCGCTCTTCTTGAACAGCTCATTGTACATCGCCTGCTTGTCCTCAATACGCTTGCGTCGCTCCAGTTCGGCCTGCGAGGCCTCCTTGGTCGACTGCTCGGCCTCTCGGATGTGTCGGATGTTCTTGCGTCCGCCCTTGCCGGGCGTGCCCTGCGACTCTGGCTTCTCCTCCTGTACGCTGTCGTCGCCGCTCGACGACTGGCTGTCATCGCTGAGGCGTCGGATGCGCTTCAGACGCCCCCGGGAGCGCGTCTTCTTGGGCGGCTGGAAGTCGTCGGCGCTGTCCGACACCGACGAGATGGACGAGGACGATGAGCGGCCGCGCTTCTTGGACGGCCCCGCCTCCTCCGCGTCGGACCCGGCCGATCCTTCCGAGTCCAGTATACAGAAGTCAGAGTCCGAGTCCTCCGCTATACGCAGCCGCTTCTTCCGCGGACTGCGCTTCTTCTCGACGACCTCTTCCTCTGAAGACGGGACGTCCACCACGGGCGGCAGGCCGTCCGACTGACTGCCGTCACCGTCAGCGTCCGGATCGTCCGAGTCGGCCTTCTTCTTGGCCGCCTTCTCCAGCTCCTTGCTACGCTTCTCCATTATTTTCTTCTTCATCTTTTCGTCCTCTTCACTTGAGTCGGTTGCACTCATTTTGCCGTTGAGAAGCTGACGAACTTTTGCTGAAAGTTTCTTTTTACCTTTCTTGTCAGTTTCAGCTTCTGATCCAGACGCATCACCGTCTGATTTGGCCTTCTTGTCCTCGTCATTGTCTTCCTTGCCTTCACCATTTGTGGCTTCATTATCTTTTTGTTCCTTTTTAGCCTTTTTCTTGTCCTTTCTCTTCACTTTATCTCCTTCTTCATCTTCAGAATCTTCCTTAACGTCCTTTTTCTCTTTCGACCGTTTATTCTTTTTGCTATCAGAATCACAACTGTTTTCAGATTCTGGTCCCCTCTTACGCTTGTCTTTAACCTTTTTGGTATCATTTTTACTATCACTGCCGTCCTCACACTCAGAAGCATTATTAGTTTCCTTATTCTCTTCTTCCTTTCGCTTCTTCTTTCCCTTCTTCTTATCTTTACCGCTGGGTAAGAAGTCCGAGTCGTTGCCGTCGCCCGCCGACTCAGAGTCGGCATCTGAGCCGCTGTCAGACGCCAGCAGCTGCTGCCTGTCGAACTCGTTCTCTTCGAGAGGAACGAGGGCGGCGGCCGAGGGCTGGTTAGGCTCGTCACTCTCCACGCCCGAGGTGCGGCCTCCACTATCACCATCGCTCATGTCATTCAACGTCTTCTTCTTCTTCTTGGCGGACTTTTCGGTGCTTCGTGCGGCGGACTTTTTCACCTTCCTCGCTTTCTCGTCTTCCTCCGTATCACTGTCGTCCGAGTCTTCCGACGAGCTCTCTCCCTTCATCAGGGACGTCCGCAGCAGGCTGGCCACGTTGGCCAGTCGGCGGACCTCCAGAGCCTGCTTCGACAGTTGCTTCTTGGCGCGCTTCGTGATTTTTACGAAGCCGTTGTCGGCGGCCTCCCGTTCCATTTCGGGCGGCAGCCGCGTCAGCGATACGCTACAGTCGGCCGTGGGCTCCGGCGGGCCCCGCGGGCGCCGGCGTCCTCTACGATTGCGCCGTCGTTCCGTGCGTTGCTCCTCAGCCGAGTCGGAAACCGAAACACTGTCCGCCGAAGACCCGGAGACCTCAGGTTTCGGTCCGACTCGCCGACGCCGCGAGCGCCTCTCGGAGTCGTCGCGCTCAGAGTCACTGCCGGCCGACTTTTTCAACGTCCGTCGTTGCCGGCCGCGACTGTTCTTATCGCCAGGGTCTGTGGCATCTGACTCGCTGTTGGGCGGCTCTTCTTTGGCGGTTCGCTTGCGCAGCTTCCGACCGCCCCGCGAGTCCTCATCGCTCGATGGTGAGTCAGCTCCTCGCTGCCTCTCATTCCCGTTGCGAATGACGGTCGACGACGAGTCTTCCATATCGTCGCCGTCCACTCCGCCGTTCGGCACACCGGCTCCGTCGGCGGCCGGGCCATCGGCGTCCTCGTCGTCACTGCTGGTCAGCAGCAGCTTCAGCCGGTCGTTGTCGTTCTGAGACTCTGGGTTGGCGTCCACTGAGGTAGACTCGTCCACGGAAGAGTCGCCTCCGAGCGGCGAGACAGGGCGACTGTCCTCCGCCGCCCCCGCGGCAGACTCGCACTTGTCAGACGCAGTGGCGTCCGGCTCGGTTTGAGCGGCGACCGGCTCTGAGCCTGACATCTGACTAAGCGGCTCAACGGCGGCGATCACCAGGCCCAGCCCCGACCCATCGCTGGGCTCCGCCTTCACCTCAGCGACAGAGCCGCCCGGCTCCGTCTTCATCTCAGACTCATCGCTGGGTTCCATTTTCACGTCACAGACAGAATCACTCTGCTCAGTCTTCATATCAGCCAGTGAGGCGGCTGGCTCAACCTTAACTGGACTAGCTCCATCATGGCTCATGGAGGATACACTCTCCTGACTGGGATCGTCACGCCGCTTCTTTTTGTTAACTCTTACCGGTGTCCCGGTAGGATCATCCGAGTCAGAGTTGAGTGGTTTCTTCTTCGCCCTGACCTGGCCCACCTCTGGTGAGGCGTCCGACTCCCGTTCGTCTCCGCCGCCTGCCGACCCGTTCATGATCCCATTCTGGGCTCCGCCGCCGTTCATCCCGGTCACTGACGCGTCACCGTCCGCCGGGGCGCCGTCGCCGTCGGTCCGGCCGGCCGGCGGACTCCGCTCGGGCGTCTCTGGCACCACGCGCCGCTCGGGGCACAGCGGACCGTCCCGGTCGTCCGCCCACGCCGCGTCCAGAAACCGGATGGCCTCCTTGAGATGGAGCCGGCCCGAGACGGCGGCAGCACGCAGACACAGCGCGGCCGCGCGGCGCTCCGTCAGGCTAGGCAGCGCGCGCAGACAGGTCGTCAGGTCGCGGCACACCTCCTCCAGCCGGGAGGCCGCCGAGACGAGCGCCTCAGCCTGCTCGGACGCTGCGCTGGCCGGGTCGTCCTGGACCGCGACCTCACTCATCCCGCCACACGCCGACGCCAGCGGTGGCGACGGACAGCTGAAACAGGATGTCCATGTTAGGCCATCGGGTCTAGGTGCTGGCGGATCATGGATGACAAACACAAGCTCTATGACATTAGCATAATCATGGCTGAGAAGACTAAACATAATATATTCATAAAAAACTAATGAGCTTCAACAAACATGTAAGAAAAAATTATTGTATGAGGTAGACACCAGTACCGCACCCAATATCTTTTGTAGGTTCTGTTTTCTAGTTTGCAATTATATTGAAAACAATCATCCACTTCAGTACTTTCATAGAAGTTTCCATATTATTTGCAGTGGGGATGTAGATTCAGAATAGACTGTAGAAAACTTCCATTTTGATAGGTAAGGGTCTGCATTATCACTGAGTTGCTAAATACAGGAGAAATGCTAAATGTAGAGTCTATGCACCAATTTCTTTTAGAAGAACCTATTAAAGAGGTAAAAAGGTAAGAATTACTCAAATTTGTGACACCAAAATGCAAAAAAAGAATTATTTTTTGGGAGTTATGGGCCTCATACAGGAATAAAACAGCACCACTTGACACTCAATTTGTCACAAGAAAACTAGGCATTAAATATTAATACAGCAGACATCACACAAAGGTTTTCCTGTAATAGTAAAGCAAGCATCACACTTGCTTCTTTGCAGCCAAGGAGAGGTGCTGTAGTTTGTGTCACCGGTTGTGGGTTGTAAGTTCTAGGTGGTAAGTTTTAGGTTTTAGGTTTTAGGTTGCAGGTTTTAGGTTGTAGGTAAGGTTTAGGTCAGATTTGGTTTGGTTTGGTTTGATTAGAAAGCATCTCTGGGTAGGTATAGTGCCTCTCTTTGGTTGCCAAAGGAATTGTAACACCTGCTTTACAACTACAGGTTTTCCAACCAAGGAGAGGCACTGTAGGCTTGCAGGTTGTAGGTTAGGTAAGATCAAGTCCTGACCTGACGTTACCTACTAACCTGCAACCTACACACCTAAATCTACCAGCCTACAACCTAACCTACCTACCTACTGCCGACGGTGACGCCAGCTTTACTGATAGGTACTGAAAGAAGCATCACAGGGTATAGTGCCTCTCCTTGGTTGGAGAGGCACTATACTTCACTAAATTAAGTTGTTTTGGTTTGGTTAAAGGTTAGAAAGAAGCATCTCAGGGTATAGTGCCTCTCCTTGGTTGGAAAGCCTTGTAATGTCTGCTATAGCTAATATCAAAAACTGCATCGGACAGGTGCACCCTTTTGAACCTAAATGATTTCCAAAATATTGCTTAGTAATGGTTTATAATTGCTGATACAAAATCAAAAATCTACATTGAGCAAATAGTTACATTGAAGTTCACAAGATTAAGAACCAAGACTTCAAAACAACCCTAGTTCAAGTTGAATCGATGTTACTCATCAATTTAACATTTAAATGCAGTAGCGGTGGAACAACTTCAATTAAGGGGGGGGGCACTGCCGACTTTTGGTCCCATTCTTTCCGCAGTGTATATAAATAATTCTTTCCATGCAACGCCCATAGGGCGTATGTTAAAATGCCAAAATCAAAGGGGGGCACGGTGCCCGGTGCCTTCCCCGTTCCGCCGCCTATGTTTAAATGAGCTCGTGGCTTGGCATTTTTGCATCACTTTATACCTAGTTTCAATACCCAGCATAAATACCTTTAGCTCTCCCTCTTTGCCAAAATGTTTTTACAAAAATTTCGTTAATTACGCAGGAAACACCCCTCGACCTCAACCGCCAACTGCAACTGCCATCGCGGCGACGCGGGGGCGCGCGCGGTAAATGAACGACAAAAGTTATTTTCAGTGTTGTTCTATATACCCTGATTTTCAGTATTCAGTAAGACATGTCGCGAATGCTATTGGATTTATGATAAAGCTCATGACGTCAGAGCATTTTCGATTCACCAACCAGCAGCTCGCAAAACCAATGAGAAGTGCTAATATGACGTCATCTACCAGTTCTGAATGGTCAAGCATCCACAGCATTTCGCAGCAGAACAAAGTGTTACTGGAAGCGGCAGACATGGCGCAAGAAGTAGGTCGTGGCCACGAAAATAATATGTGACCTTTCGCAGGCAATACGTTATTTTCTTTCCGATAAATTCAGCTTTGATACGCTATAGATGTTATCAGTGACTACTATAGTAAGTCAGCTTTATCATTGCCAAAAAATAACATGCGACAATCCAACAACAACACGACTATTATGGATGGAAATGCGAAGCGTCGCCAGCAGGCGCAGTTGCAACGCAACCCAGACTCCGTCGTTGGTTCCGTTTCCGGTTATTCGGGCCTGGCTAAACCCTGTCATGAATGATCCTGTTTAGCTTCAGCGAGTAAAACACCGAAGGCTCTCCTCGTAGGCGTGCGCGCAGGTAGGTACTGAATACATTATGTCCGCATCTCCGCGAGGCATCGCAATAATAGAAGCGACCACCTTCATCACTCATCAGCTGGTCTGTCTCTTAAAGCACAGAGTATTTAATTGATCTCCCGCCGTTTCGCTAAGATCTGGACTTGTGTCATACTTAAACCATAATTATTAACTTTAAGAATTTATTGGAAGCCGGAACACTTTTCCATACCCGCCAATCGCTCGTAAGAAGACATCAAAACGTCAGCCTCCAAAAATCCTATGCATGATAAGTCATCTTTATTTCGATACCAGTTGTTCAAAAGTGATGAAAATAGCACATCTACAAATACATCACCAAAACTAGCATCCTCCTGTCAAACATACCTACTAAAAAAAAAAAAACACTACTTCACATATCCACAGCTCAGTAGCATGGAGCCGGAGTATCGTCAATATTGCACATATCAGCGCCCAGTTGCAGGCGCTTCACTTCCGTCCTCTTCCGTGGCTGACCGACCTGTACCCTCGCAGTGGTCATGGTCTGCCTCTGAGGCCGGCCCCGTCCACTCCTACCTGCTCACACCGCAGCCATCGGAGCTGCTATCACGACACATATCTAACCTTCACCGAGGGACATTTCACAACCAATCGACCTGCGGCCGGCTAACGTGCATCCCGGTACTCGCAGCTGCCGCCGTCCTTGAATTCCTCTAACTTCCAGCTCGTGTCAACACCCGATGGCCTTCCTTGACTGCTATGACCTCCGGCGACATCCGCTGACCCCTGCTGACCTCTGGTGACCTCTGGTGTCGGTCACTCGCCGAGGACGCGCCGGGCGATCAGCAGCTGCATCACCTGGTTGGTACCCTCGAGGATCTGGTGCACCCGGATGTCCCGCAGGTACTGCTCGACGCTGTAGTCCTTGAGGTAGCCGTAGCCGCCGAACAGCTGCAGCGCAGAGTTGACGATCTGCCGAGGACGGGGACGGTTACTTGGGGAGATCAGCTGGAATATACGCACACATTCCATCAGTTCGGCAACGGAAGGTCACCCGGATGCTTACCAAACATCGGGATGAGACAGCGCCAATGTCTAATGCCAAACACGGAATTCGAACAGAAATACCTCGTCACAGAACAACTGTATGACTGTATTATAAAATATGTAGTTTAGCTCTCTGGTATCCAAAGTTCAAGATGGAGGCCAGTCTCGTGTGCAATGCACCAGCACACACCCGCGCTCCTACCTCGAAGCAGCGGTCGGTGGCGAACAGTTTGGCCATGGAGCAGAGCGCCACGGTATCCGGGTGGTTGGTCTGCAGCGCCGCCGCCGCGTTACGCACCATCATCCGAGCGGCCACCAGATCAGTGGCGGCGCGCGCCAGTGAGAACTGCGTGTGCTGCGGCCGGGGGAGGCGGGGTCAGCGGTGGTGGAGGAGGGCCGCAGGGACCGGACCGAGGGCCGGTGGCTCGTTTACAATCCTTTACTCGGTTTAATGGGCTCTGTTCAACCACGCGACTTCTGATACCAGTGAAAGTCTCTCGGCAAGACTCTCACGGTGTCACTCGTCAGAAAGATCGAGATAAATTCATAGAAAAGGGCTCATTATTGCGGGAAAATTCACGGCCCATGCGTATGCTCATAGGCCATTTTGCAGGATCCTATGCAGGATCATTACGCTGCAATGGACATCTAGGATACTCTGCGATATGGCATATGATGATATGCTACAACCATGAATATGATGTATGTATATCGACAGATATATACATACGATATGATACAAATACATAAGCTGTCATTACTCATATATATCATGCTACCCAACAGCACAGAGTCCCGCCGTAACCCATCCCTCGGCGGAATTATGTGACCGGGCCGCGGCCGGGCCGCCGGGTCCGTACCTGCATATCGGCGAGCCGCTGGCCGAACTGCTTCCTGACGAGCACGTGGTCGCGGGCCAGCTCCAGACTGGCCTGGGCCGCGCCCAACGAGCAGGACGCTGCAGCGGACGGCGCCGGCGGCAGGTTAGAGTTCAGCGGCGGGCAGGTGGCAGGGGGAGGGACGAGAGGCGCGCGGTCACTTCCCTGGGCCGTAATCAGTGGCTCCAGTTGGAATGTGCGGTGTATTAAGAACACTTTATTGACGGACTGAAGGCTAAGAGTTCATGTAAGATCATCTATCCGTTGTACCTAGTCGCTCCGCATTCTGCGTCCTTGCTATATCAAGCCTATGGCGGTTTTTTTCTCAATTCCAACATGCGACATGCCATTGCCAAACCAGCATCGAGCCCGTCCCCCCATCAATGTTCGCCCTCCCCCGATGTAATGTGCCGCCGGCTGCCGTGTCCGCGCCCTCTCACCGATGTTGATGCGGCCGCCGTTGAGGCCCTTCATGGCGATGGAGAATCCCTGCCCCTCGGCGCCCACCAGGTTCGTCACCGGCACGCGGCAGTCCTCGAAGATGACGGCGCGCGTCGGCTGCGCGTTCCAGCCCATCTTACGCTCCTTCTTGCCGAAACTGAGCCCTGTGCAGATGGCGCTGGTCAGGAAGACGGATCATGATGTACGTCGTGAGGTAGAACCGGTTTTAAGGTAATGACGCGAAGCCCACGGCTGCACAGTGCATAACAATGCACTGCTTATTTAGTGGCTCGAGTCATGCAAAACAACGACGAAGCAGATACTAGGAAATGTTATCACACAAAGATGAAGTTCAGCAATTATTTAGTTCATGAAAATTGAAAATATAACGATATATTGAGCATTGTGAATATAAAATATTAGGAAATCTTGATACGATAAAACCACGCTATGGATGGAAGTTCACTTCGAACGACACTGCTGTAAGCGACATTACGCTTTAGGTGACAGTATGCTCTGGCCACCGAGCAGCACAGTCCCGGTCGTCGTCGCTGGCTCACCGGGCGTGCCGTTTTCGACCAGCAGGCAGCTGACGCCGCGCGGACCCGGCTGGCCCGTCCGGCACATGACCACGTACACGTCCGTCTCGCCGCCGCCGCTGATAAACGCCTGCCAACGGCGCAGCTCGGGTCAGGACTCAAACAGGTGGCTCGGGCGGAGTTATGTACAGCTCATTGGTGTCAGAGTCGGAGTGGGACGGCCAGAATGACATCCCACCAGTGTCAAGGATGGGATCACAGCTAGCATGGTCAGAATCAGATCCAACGAGTGTGATGTTTAGAGTCACAATTACCACTGGTTGAATTACAGCCTAAACAGGTTGGCACGCTGAACCCTGCTTTTCCTCTATTTCGCACCGAGTTATTCACTCGAACATTCTATTTCATTTCAGCATAATTTGAAACACAATCGCTGGGCCAATTCCTCACAATTTTCGCTCTTAATTTAGCGCTTGCTAATCTTCTGATGAAGATTATTCTGACACTACTTTACTTATGCTTCTTGGACAAACAGCTACCAATATGTCCTAACGTTACGTGTCTTTCATTTACCTTGGAGCCGTTGAGTACGTTATTATCTCTCCTACCTTGGAGCCGTTGAGTACGAAGTGACCTCTCCTTTAACTTGGAGCCGTTGAGTACGTAATTGTCTCTCTTACCTTGGAGCCGTTGAATATGTAATTATTTCTCATTTATCTTGGAGCCGTTAAGTACGAAGTGATCTTTTCTACCTTGGAGCCGTTGAGCACGAAGTGATCTCCTTACCTTGGAGCCGTTGAGTACGAAATTATCTCTCTCCTACCTTGGAGCCGTTGAGTACGAAGTGATCTCCCCACCTTCGAGCCGTTGAGTACGAAGTGAACTCTCCTTTACCTTGGAGCCGTTGAGTGCCTCCCTTACCTTGGAGCCGTTAAGTACGTAATTGCCTCCCCTACCTTGGAGCCGTTGAGTACGTAATTATCCCCCTACCTTGGAGCCGTTAAGTACAAAATGATCTCTCCTTTACCTTGGAGCCGTTAACCCTCACATGTGTAGGGGGGGGGGGGGGGGTCGGATGGACCTCCCCATGGTCTTTCGCGAATAACTCGCGTAAAAAGCGGCCGATCGCGACGAAACTTTCAGTACCCTCGCATTGATCAATTTTACACCTACCCTGAAAATTTCATGACCCTGACCCAAATGACCTTTGACCTGTGACCTCTTTTCCGAGACAATGTTTGGCCGGAATCGTGATTTCGCATATGTCGGCTCGCATTAGCCGCGCGTATGCAAGCTTTTCGTGGTTTCAAACGTTCAAACATGTGATTTGATGTTGCTCGCATACATAAGGGTGGGTGTCAAGGTCACCTGAAGGTCAGGTCAGGTCATTGACCTTTGGTGACCTCGGGTGACCTCGGTTCACTTTTTCGAGTTTTACATGTTACTAGGCTAGTTTTTGGAGCTGAATTCGAATTTAGCAACCATTTGAACATTTACGAAGCAGTTTTGGTGACTTCGTAACATGTTACGAAGCTGTCAGAGGCGGTTGACACGTACTACGAATACCCGTCACGACGCCTCCTGGTTGACATGACCTGACCTGACCCGACCTGGTCTAAATGCTTAAAGACATCATCTGTGATCAAAACTAACACGATATTCGTGATCAGCACCCCTAAAAAACCCCTTAGCAGCCACACTTTACGACTTTCTAACAGGTCCCGATTTTCCCCGACTTTGGATCATTGACCTGACCTGCAAGGTCAACCAATGACCTAGGACCTTAAAATTGGGTATCATCGGCTTCCTCTCGTCACGGGCAACACGCTCGTTTTTTCCGCGAAGCTCTAGCTCGATCAGGGTCAAACGGCAAGGGGGGTCCAACCGACCCCCCCCCCCCTACACATTAGAAGCTGGCAAACGCCGCACACATGCGAGGGTTAAATACGAAGTGATCTCTCCTTTACCTTGGAGCCGTTGAGTTCGAGGTAATATGATAGTAATCTTTCTCCTACCTTGGAGCCGTTGAGCACGAAGTGATCTCTCCTTTACCTTGGAGCCATTGAGCACGAAGTGCTCTCTCCTTTACCTTGGAGCCATTGAGCACGAAGTGATCTATCCTTTACCTTGGAGCCGTTGAGCACGAAGTGCTCTCTCCTTTACCTTGGAGCCGTTGAGCACGAAGTGCTCTCTCCTTTACCTTGGAGCCGTTGAGCACGAAGTGCTCTCTCCTTTACCTTGGAGTCGTTGAGCACGAAGTGCTCTCTCCTTTACCTTGGAGCCGTTGAGCAAGAAGTGATCTCTCCTTTACCTTGGAGCCGTTGAGTTCGAGGTAATATGATAGTAATCTTTCTCCTACCTTAGAGCCGTTGAGCACGAAGTGATCTCTCCTTTACCTTGGAGCCGTTGAGCACGAAGTGCTCTCCGTCACGTCTGGCGCTGGTGGTCAGAGAGCCGGCGTCGGAGCCGGCGCCGGGCTCCGTCAGACAGTAGGAGGCCAGTCGCTCCATGGTGGCCAGCCGAGGCAGCCAGGCGGCGCGCAGCTCGGCACTGGCAAACTCGTCCACCATCCAGGCGCACATGCTGCAGGGGGAGAGCAGCGGTCAGACGATCAGACGGGGTGAGACGAGACGGACGGCGGTCAGATAGACGAGACGGAATGGACACGGTCAGACAGACGAGACGGGATGGACAGCGGTCAGACGATCAGACGGGGTGAGACGAGACGGGATGGACAGCGGTCAGACGATCAGACGGGGTGAGACGAGACGGACACGGTCAGAGAGACGAGACGAGACGGCCGGCGGTCAGAGAGGCGAGACGGGATGGACAGCGGTCACAGAGACAAGAAAAGACGAACACGGTCACAACTGAGAGTCGAGACCAGGCAGCAGCAGTCAGGGCGTACTAGGTTGCACCAGCCGAGCGACATAAAAACAACGCTGCCATTTTCCCGACTTACGAGTAGACATCTTCAAACAATAGGCTCATAGCTATAAAGTGAACTGATACAGCTAGAATTTAAAACGCCGCCGATAAGCATTCGGTAGAACCTCCAAAGCCCTTGGTTCATCCCATGATATTCAACTAACGAAACATCAGTTTTACGACAAAACGGAAAACTAATGGCCTCCATGCAGCCGATCAGTCATGTTGAGATGCACACATTTGAAGCAACTTCGATGCTCACATGCTTGAAAACGAATTATTTCTGCCTGCATACACGTTTGTGTTAGTGACCAGTTGGGCACCTGTTGATCAGCGCTGTGCAGCGCTGGCTGCTGGAGGTCTCTCTGCGGCCAGGGTCGACGACCGGCCCGCCCCCGGGGGCTCCATCTCATGTTAATACACCGTTTCACCCGACTGCAGCCGGGCGGCGGCCGGTGCAGGTATCCACTGGCGAGTGTCTACACACGGCAGAGCGGCCGGCCAGGGACCGGGGCGGGCTGAGGGAGCAGCTCCGGCAGCTCGCGGGCACAGGACTGCAGTCAGTGATAGTGGGAGCGGAAGTGTCTCAGGTGCGACTGGCACCGACCCCGCCTATGATGGCCGCGGCGTGGCCGCTCCATGTAGTGAGGAGGGCGTGGCGATCCAAGAGTAACAGAGCTCTGACAGTGGCACTTGCGATGATCCTGACTCTGGGTGTCTTCCAGCGAGCAGGTAAGTTCATCGTGGTACCTACCTACTCCTTCAGCGAGGAACGGTGGGCAAGTCAACAAAGTCGGCTGAATGCTTTCGTAATCAGATTATAAAAATCTTGATTTAGACAGGACGCTCGTAAAACAATACACTTACATCGTTCAATCAAACGTCACTGTCACGTCAAATCTGCAAATGCCCTTCTCCATCACCGTCCAAATGAAACACCAGTGTCCGAAAACGGCTAGCTATTGCCGTAATGGCGCCCGGCATAGCAGCCATCGGCACCAACATCCGCATAACGAGCCTTTGCAACACAACCAACAAGCCATTGAAACGGGAGAGGAGAACTCATAACACCACAAGAGGATTGCTGTTAGGGGAGGTTGACGCACTGAGGTGTACCTATTTAAATCGACTATACGTTTTCATAACACGTGGACGAAGTCATGGCACGTTGAATGTCCGCTTCGCTCCACTATAAGACGTCATAGCTATCACGGTGGCTATAAATAATAGCTATGGGCGCTCCAATGTTGCTCGCGTACCTATGTCAAACAGTCCGTTTGTCGTGCATGATGACTATTGAGTATTGACTGTTGTTGTTTGGTTTGTTTCAGACCGGCGGGTGGCTGCGCCAGCAGCGGCGGGGTGCTGGCCCAGCCTGTCTCTCGGAGAGGTGGCCTACCCCTGGGAGTCGCCGGCCCCCGCAGGAGACTCTCCGGGCTGCGGCGGTGTCCCCCAGCCACCGGACTGTCTCCGGCGGACCGGACACACGGCCCATCTCGCCATCATCGGCGACTCCCGCGGACGCCAAATCTACGTCAACCTGGTCAGGGATAACCCTCCTCTGGAGAGCGTATGGCAAACGCCAGGAGAAAGTCAGGAGGAAGACAGGCAGCTGGAGTACGTACCAGGGTTAGCTCCAGAGGCATTCTGCTCGGTAGGCATGTGTTCAAGCAACGCTACCAACGAGCATATCAGTATTCGGTTTCTGTGGCAACCGTTTTTCGACCAGCATTTCTTGAAAGCACTGCAAACATTCGTTGACGAGTGTCAGCAGCCGAGGGGCACGTGTCCAGACATGGTACTGGTTAACGGCGGTTTTGGTACTCGGGCCGGGTGCCGGGCATGGACAAAATAGCGCAGCACGAGCAGTTGACAATGCTGCGGCAGGGCGTGCTGCGCGCGGCGCCGGCGCTGGCGCGGCTGGCACGCCGCACGCTCACCCTGTGGAAGCTGGAGGAGGCGATGCTGTTCGAGTTTGTGCCGGACAAGTATCGCTTGCGTCTGTCCAAGGTGGAGTACATGGAGCTGCTGCTGGTGCAGCAGGCGCTCATCTACGAGCTGACGCTGCAGGTGAGGCCATCCACATTGTTAACCCTCGCCGGACCTATTGGTTGTCTACATAAGCGCCGGCCGAGGGGAGGGGGGGGGGGGCGGGCGGGCGGGTACAACCTCCCTCGCCGTTTCGCCCCTGGTAGAGCTAGCGCGTCGCGGATCAAACGAGCGTGTGCGCCGTTACGAGAAACAGAGATTGATACCAATTTTAAGGTCCTAGGTCAACCGGTGACCTCTGAGGTCAGGTCAAGTACCCCAAGGTACGGTTCTGTTTTTTGGTGATTAACCTCGCAAAAAACGCCAGCAGAGCCACGATTTTGGCAGCATCGTGTTTGCCTCGCTGGGGGGCGTCGAATGATATACTTTTTGTGTTTGTGTGAGGTCAACTTAGATTGTTGACTTCGGGTCACGGTCAGGTCAGCACCCCCAGGTCAAGAATTTGGTCGAAAGATGTTATGTTGCATATCATTCGATTCGGCAGGTCTTCCTGAGTTCATTGGTGGCTTTCCCGACTCGCTAGCTCAATTTGATCGGGAGTTATTGACGAAAAACTAATATGACCCTGACGTCATACCTATGTACAATGTACACCAGTATAACGCCTTTTGTGGCGACTAACGGAGCGAGCGAGAGGGTGGGCCTTGCACGTGCGAAATTGCGAGGGGGTACCTCCAACTGACTTGTGCACGGCACCTTACTAACCGGTCTCTAGCGATGTGCCAAATTTGAGCACAATCGGCCCAGCCGTTCTCGAGATCTGGAAGCGGCACCCTGCACGTGCGCACGTGCAAAATGGGTCCCAACTGACTTATGCACGGCACCCTACTAACTGCTCCGTAACCGTGTACCAAATTTGAGCGCAATCGGTCCAGCCGTTCTCGAGATCTGGAAACGACCCCTGCACGTGCGCACGTGCAGCAGCACCCCAACTCTGGCACATGGATATGCATTGCCTAGTGGGTGCCTACCTACATGCCAACTCTCAGCGCAATCGGCCCAGTAGTTACCGAGATATTGCAACAATTACAAAAGTGACACCTCTTCGTTTTGCACGTGGCACGTGCATAAGGGGTCACCCACATGCATCGGGAATAGTGCAATACTTGGTAGAAGGAATGAAGCTACCCTACAAAAATTACCCCATGTAAATCGGTCAAGTGGTTGCTGAGATATAAGCCTCGCAAAAGCGTGACCACGGCCGGCCGGCCGGCCGCTCATACTCAGAAATTTCCGTTAATCTAAGGAAAGACTACGCTCGCTTCGCTCGCTCCGTAATGACGGCACGAAAGGTCAACATTGCAAAAGTGACGCATCGAACCTTGCAAGGAGTGCATGAAATCACGATTCTGTGTGCTTGAGATAGTTGGAGATAGTTTCCGGCGCCAGAATAGCAGTTTTCATTTTTCCCCGTCGACTTATAATGGTGAGGTCACGAAAATGACCTGACCTCATATGACCTTTAGGTAAAATCCGAGATATACAAGTTGTGAGACTACTAATGGATACTAGGTCCTGCAAGTTTCATTTCCCTGGGAAAGCTCCTCTGGCAGTGAGGGCGTTGCGAAGCTGCGACATCTGAAAACCGTGCAGAAGTTCACTTACGACGTCATAGGTCAGTGACCTGACCTGACCCGAAAATGCGGTTGGTGTCAAAAGATCCGACTTGAATCAAAAGTCAGGTATGCCAAGTTTTCTTTCTGTGTGATGGAAGGATAGTAAGGATGTGATGCGTGATGCGTACCTACTGATGAACACGACACCAGCACGGGACTTCGCGTGACGAAATGATGCAAAATACTTACAGCATCTACCAGGCTCATCGGAAACTAGGTTCGTCAATTAATCACGAGTGGAAGGGTGATGGTTTTTTTCTCGCTCCCCACCCTTCAGTCAATGGCAGTTTCTTGCGCTGTATGCTTGCCTCGTGGTCAATTAACTACCATCAGTGCTGGGTTTAAAATTTGATTGTTACACGAATTCGTTTTATGGCACTGCTTTTATGGGCCCGTTCAGAGCTTTTTCTAAAGAGTTGCTAATGTCCCTCCTTCCTCAAACATATAACAATAATTGCGTGACGGCCCAGCTGCGTGCTCTGTGGGTCGTGTCGGACTCGGTAACTAAGACTGACCGCCGGGTTTGTACGGGCAGGTGCCGGAGCTGGTGATCTGGTCCTCTCTGCTGCCGGAGGTGACTCGCCACATGTTCCACGTGTGCGCGCGCCGCGCCGACCGGGACAACTGCCCGGACCCCGTACACATGGGCCGCTCACTGCAGAGCGGCTTCAGTGACACCCTGATGGCAGTGCTGTGTCGCCGGGCCACAGCGCCGCGCCGCTAACCTGATGTGTGCCACTGGCCGGGCCCGTGTGCCGCTGACCCGATGTGTGCCGCTGACCCGATGTGTGCCGCTGACCAGGCCCGTGTGCCGCTGACCTGATGTGTGCCGCTGACCGGGCCACAACGCTGTGCCGCTGACCTGTGTGCCGCTGACCGGGCCCGTGTGCCGCGCCGCTGACCTGATGTGTGCCGCTGACCGGGCCCGTGTGCCGCACCGCTGACCTGATGTGTGCCGCTGACCGGGCCCGTGTGCCGCGCCGCTGACTGCAGTGGTGATGCCGGAACCGAAATGGTGATGAAGGAACCGCAATGGTGATGATACCGCAATGGTGCTACAGGAGCCATGACTTAGAAATGGCTGCCGCTGACCGGTCGATGAATGAGTGGCAAATAGAAACACGTGACCTCGAACGGAATTATGGCAAATACATTGCCATCGATAGACGTGACGTGACATAGACGTGAGCCACATTCGTCTTGTTGCAAGAATCGATATGCTTTCTCCTAGCATGTTTGGTACGAGAAAAGTGCCTATGAGGAGGTGAACAATAACCGTTGAAATAGCTGCACTGATGTCCTGTCATTTCTGCAAGCCGCTTGTTAGCCCTACGACTCTGTGCAATGATAAAATAAGGGCGGCGTTTATGCGCTACAGGCGCTTTCGAAAAAAAAAAAAATGAGCCAGAGAGGTGATTTGCCAGAATACGAGTACGGCTTGGCACCTCGCGCAATCCAATCATGCATATGAATTCAAGCGAGATCACACAATACCATTCAGATGGCATAATGTTTTTGTCCGAGGCCTAGTCCGACAAACACATTATCAAACTATGCATCTCGCTGCTCGAATCGCATGGTCGCCACGGGTCGACACCCTCTGGAAATGGCGGGCAGGTATGACCGCTGCACAGTCTCAAGGGTAGCCTGCAGCCAGCAGGGCCAGTCCCGAGTGCCTGTTTACACGGCAGAGCACCGGGATGCTCCGGCAGAGTGGCAACACCTGACCCCGTCATTGGCAGCGGGACCGTCGGGAAGTGACGAGCGGCCCGGTGCCGTCCCGGGATGGCCGCGGCCTGGCCGTTCAACACTGTGAGAAAATCGCTGCCGTCCAGACGGAATTTATTGGCGCTATGTCTGACCGTGCCGTTGACTCTGCTCGTCGGAAAACTGCCAGGTGAGCCGGCATCTTACTCGCTAATTGGCCCATTATCGGCCCTGGTGCCATGAAACGTCAGTAACCCTCGCCCCGCTGGGGGGCCAATTTGCCCCCCCCCGTGGTTTTTCCTAAATAGCAAGAAAAAGGCGGCGCGCAGCGCCGCCAAATTTTCAGTACCTTCTCGGGCATTAGTTTGACACCTTTTCAAGTCTAAGGCCACCTTAGGTCAGGAGTTATTGAGGTCATACTGAGGTGATGAGGTCATGTTCGAGCAAAAATGAGCAAAAAACATGAAATCTTGAAACGCTCACAAAAGCTACAGTTACCAAACAATTTCAAAGTTCTTTATATGGTCATGTAGACAAAAGGCGGCGCTGCAAAACTGCTATCTCGGATTTTCAAAATTTTTGGATTTTGACCCCCAAAAATTCATTTTTTTTAAGAAAAAAAAACGCAAAAAATCTGATTCCACTTTACTAAACCGACAGCCAAGCACAAAGTGAACAGTCACATATCACGCCACATGGCGCTGCATCCGATTGGTCACCCCTTTGGCGCGAATGCCTCTCATTGGCGGACAGCGATCGGCTGATCGCGCCAGGTCACAGGCCGAGGTCACGTGACGGCGCATCGGCGGGGTTACTACTGGAAGCGATATAACGAACTGAAAAATTACGCCTAGAGAACAAAAGTAATAAAATAGGAAGCCACGGCCTAGGACACCTTCCTTTGTCTAAATTATATCTAACACCTAAATTATCCGTATGCACTGTAAACGGAGCAGTGCCCGCGCACATCAAATAAACCGCCACCAAAGCCGCTACATATTCCGCAACATAAATCGGAAGGGCGAACCGAAATCTCGCCGAAATTGGGGCGCAGCCCGGGCGCACGATACCAATACAAAACGGAGTGGCGTCGACAAAAACCGAACGGTCATGCGCCTCGGACCACGCACATCGATCTTGCCACCGCCAAACCACATCATCGGCCAAATACGGCACAATGGCAGCGCACGCGGCACAGTCTCCGTCCCTGACCGCCGCCACAACCTCGAGAGGCAGCTTAAATAGAGGCCTTACAAAATTAACATAACCCGCCAGACGATGTCGCACCGTCGACGGCCAAGACGGACAGCACTCAGCTACCGCCGTACGAAGGGGTAGCAAAACATCGCGTCGCACCCGCGCCGAACTCTCGCGCAAATTCAGCTCAACCCCCAAAAATACAATGCTCGACACCGGTGACAATATAGATTTCTCAAAATTAATGCATAAGCCCACATCCGTCAAAAACCGAACAATACCACCGAGGGATGCAGAGTCCCGAGCAAGAAACAGAAAATCATCTAAATACACAACGCCGCGAACACCAGGAAAACGCTCCTCCACCAGTTTAACAGTGACACAAGAAAAATGCTGCATCTCAGCAGGCGCATGTTTATAACCCATCGGCAATCTCGTAAACAAATATGTATGATTATCATATAATACCCCAAAGTTACGTTGCGTGCTCGGATATAACGGAATATGGTAAAAGCCATCGCGCAAATCAATCTTAATCGCCCATACAAAACCCTGAGACGATAAATCTAACGGTCTGTCAATAGAAGGCAAATTGCATGGACGGGCCGACAATAGTGGAGTCAAATCAGACAGATCGTAAACCAAACGCGCAACCGACTCAGATTTCGCAACCGGGAAAAGACGGTAGCAAGCCAGCGGGTTCCCCGGCCGCAAAACCCCCGCAGACACAAACGAATGCATCGCCGCGTCCATCAGCGCAGACCGAGGAGTCGCCCGCCAGATCGGCGGCACCACAGAAGGCACTCGTAACTTGAGGCCTCGAGCCAGAACACTGTGTACCCGATGATGGCGCACGTAATAGTCTGGCCTCACTTGCACCGACACCGGCGGCCGCACTCTGGCCCCACTCGACACGCGGCGCCGCCCGTCGCCGGAAAACGGCGACGCCGCCCACGCCGCACCCCGGTCGGCCCGCGCAGACGGAGCCGACCCACCACCACTCTGAGGAGCCGCCCGCTCAAGGAGCCCCAGCAGCGCCCCGAGGGCACAGCCAGCGCCCCCCGCCGCCAGAAACCGCTCCGCCGGCAGCGGCGCCGGCAGCGGCGGCGGCGGCGGCAGCGGCGTCGGCGGCAGCGGCGGCAGCGGCGGCGGCAGCGGCGGCGGCAGCGGCGGCACCAGCAACAACGGCGACGACGGCGGCAGCAGCCCCAGGTCGACGCCGCACGAACCTCCACCAGCAGCGCCATCTGTGGCCGCGGCGCCACACTCCAGCAGGGCAGCCGAGGTACTCTCTCCAGAGGGCTGTTCACGGACCCTGTGTGCGGTCGGACCGCACACAGCCTCCAAGCTCCGCCCACTGCGTCCCTACGTCAGCCTTGCGTCACCGCACACAGCGACCGCTGTGGCCGGTCGGGACTGGCCACAGCGGACCGTCCACCGCACGCAGCCGTGACGTCAGAGCCGCCTACCCATCCCCTACCCCCACGCCTGCTGGACGTACCGCACACACCGCACGCAGCAGTGTGCGGTGCCCGTGAACACCCCTCAGCAGTGGGCAGAGCTGGAGAGTCTGCGGGCGGCAGGAGACCGGAGAGGGGAGCCGAGACCGTCGTCCCCACCGCCCGCAGCGCCGTCCGAATTCTAACGTCGCGACGCGGCCGGCGGCGCGGCGCCCCTGGGCGGCACCATGGATGAAGTAGAACCTGGATCGGCAACTCCTCGATGTTTGTGACCACAAAATTTATTTTGATCAGGGGCAACCCGAGTGATAGACAAAGTCGTTTGATCGAAGGTATTTTCAGGCAGCTGGCAGAAGGCGCCTGGCCTGGCCATGAGAGCTAACAATACGACGTGCTGAGGTAAAATCGGCCAGTCGCGCTCGGTAAACGACCCACCACACCATTCTTTCCAAAACGATACATAGTCTACGGAACCGCTCTGGACCGTTCTTCCGGAACCCGACACTGTTGGCCTATGCCAAACTTAGCCGGGGCTGGTTTAGGCCATGTAACTTGCCGGTCATTTTCGGACTTCGCTGGTATCGGCCGCTGTCTGACTGAGCGGCGGCGGCGGGCTGTCCTTAGCAGGGATCAGTCTGCTCGATAGGTGGCAGCACTTTCGGGCGGTCGCGCAATACAATGGGAATTCCGCGGAGTTGCCGATCCAGGTAGTAGGTAATCCATGGCGGCACTCGCAGGCCGGACGGACGGGACGGCCGCCCACGCCACCTGGAGGCCGGTGCAGAGGCCGGCGGCGGCGGCGGGGGCGGCTGAGGCCGCGCGGCGGCCGGCGGCTGGACGACATCTCGGCTCAGGTGAATACCCAGCCGCTCCATGTCGGACGACCGAGCGTCGCGCACGGCCGCTCCCCAGCCTTCGTGGGCGACAATCAGGAAGAGCCGCACACGGCCCCAGAACCAGTGGGAATGGTCCGGGGGCGGGCCGCCGCCTTCCCCGATGATCAGGAGACCTCTGACCTCCTCCTGCTCGCGGGTGCCGAACGTCGCGGCGGGAACATCGAGCTGTCGGCGGAGCTCCGCCAGCCACAGCTGCCGCTGTGCCCGCGACGGAGAAGTAGGCGCATCTTCTACCACCTCCGGCTCCTCCTCCTTAACGACTGGAGCAGCCGCCTCCGCCCCGACGCCTGCCGCCGTCAAACGGGCGACGACGGCGTCCACCAGCCGGTCAATGTCGACGGCGGCGGCGTCCGGCTCCGTCCCGGCCCCCGACTCGGCCATCGCCGCGCCGGACCGTAGACGGCGCGGCTCCGTCATCCCACCCGGTAATCGATCCCGAGTCCGGAGTGGGCCCAAAAACTGAATCACCAAATCACTTTCACTTCTTCTGTTGGCCCAGCTCGGGCCGTGTATTTGTGACCACACCTGAGTCGAGACTAAACCGACAGCCAAGCACAAAGTGAACAGTCACATATCACGCCACATGGCGCTGCATCCGAATTTCATGCAACATTTTTCCGAATTTCGAAAAAAACCGGAATAAACGTGATAGTCCCTGTGCTCTTCTATATACATACTAAATTTTAGATCGATATCTCTCTTTTTTTTTTGGTCAAGTTATAGCGAAAAAACTATTCAAAATTGATGACGTCAAATTTTTTAAATCAATTTTCAGCAATTTTACACCACGTAGCGCAAAACAAAGTCCACCATTGAACTCCCCGTGACGAGCTGCATCGAATCGATACCCATTTTAAGCAAAAATATCAACTTTAAAATTTGACCTAATTTGACCTGACCTTGACCAGAGCATAATCTAAACTGACCCCAAAGGCTGCCTGACCCACATAATCGCATTTGGCATATAAAATGGACCATAAAACATGCATCACATGATATTTTCATATTGTGACCCTCAGTGACCTGACCTCTGGGGCATTCCACGTCAAGTGAGACAAAAAATGGCCATTTTGAACCTCACCTCCTCCGATTTTTGCGAAACTTTGTGAAACTACTCATCTATATGTGAAAAGAAAGGAGACATGTTTTTGTCAAGATATGACGTCACGTTTCCGAGATACACGTCATCAAACATTGACCTAGGCAAGGCACATTATCATCTTTAACCCTATTCCTGGCGGGCTCCGCCGGGACAAGAAACTGGCGGGGGGGGGGGGCCGATTCGGCCCCCCCCCCTGAGATCTCGAGAACGAAGCAAGATAGCGACAAGCGGTAAACGGCATCGGATACGCATGGACAAGGTCTACAATTTTTACTAAGGTCATTTTCAGGTCAGGTCAAAGATGACGTCACAGGGGTCGAAAAAGTCAAAATGGCGGCGCTAGATATGGAGAGTTTTTCTCGAATAACTTTCGAATTAGTCAAGATAGGAACAAACTAAGGGCATCATCGTGATCCTCTCGTCAATCCGCATCGAATGATATATATGTTGACCTCGAAAGGTCAAGGTCAAAGGTTGACCTCAGGTCACGTGACCTCGAGGTCATCATGTATATCATTCGATGCGTCTTGACGAGCTGAACACAATGAGACCATCCACGCGTCTGTATCTTGTTCCTGTACGGAGTTATTGGCCAAAAACCTTTGGTGACCTTTGATGACGTCACATGACCTCACAGCTGCCCAACAGCAAAACAGACCTCAAGGTAGTGAAGGTTGATCGTATATGAAGTCATGTATGGTATATGGGGCCATTCCGACCCGTTTTAGTGGTAAAAACAGGGAGTTGATTTTTCCCCCATTGACTTATAATGGGGAGGTCGCGAAACTGACCTGACCTTAGGTCACCGATATCAAAATTCCGAGATATACAAATTGCACATACTGGTACCCTAACTAAAGCCTGAAGAGAAGAAATTGATCGGTCAAAAACTCTAGCTCTGGCGTGATTGCAAACTTTTCTGAGGTAGGGTCACCAAACCGCCTCTGGTGACCTGACCTGAGGTCAGATCAACTCAAAATTTTCAGACATGTTGCGTAGAAGCCTTTTAGGAAAAGTCAGAAAATTTGAGCTTCCTAGATCAACGCGTTTGGGAGAAATAACCAAAAAACCTCAGGGGGGGGGGGGCTCCTGAGGCCCCCCCGCCAGGAATAGGGTTAACCCTCGCCGGACCTATTGGTTTTCTACATACGCGCCGGCCGAGGGGGGGGGGGCGGGTACGACCCCCCCTCGCCGTTTCGCCCCTGGTGGAGCTAGCGCGTCGCGGAAAAAACGAGCGTGTGCGCCGTTACGAGACGCAGAGATTGGTACCCGATTTTAAGGTCCTAGGTCAACCGGTGACCTCTGAGGTCAGGTCAAGTGCCCCAGGGTACGGTTCAGTTTTTGGTGAATATTTTCGCAAAAAACGACCGCAGAGCGCCGATTTTGGCAGCATCGTGTTCGCCTCGCTCAGGCGCGTCGAATGATATACTTTTTGTCCGGGTCAGGTCAACTTGGGGTGTTGACCTCAGGTCAAGGTCAGGTCAGCACCCCCAGGTCACGAAGTTGGTCGAAAGAGGTCATGTCGCATATCATTCGATTCGGCAGGCCTTCCTGAGTCCATTGGTGCCTTTTTCGACTCGCTAGCTCAACTTGATCAAGAGTTATTGACGAAAAACTAATTTGACCTTGATGACGTCATAAATGACGTCACGCAAGGTCAACATTGCAAAAGTGACGCATCTAACCTTGCAAGGAGTGCATCAAATCACGATTCTGTGTGCTTGAGATAGTTGGAGATCGTTCCCGGCGCCAGAATAGCAGTTTGAATTTTTCCCCATTGACTTATAATGGTGAGGTCACGAAAATGACCTGACCTCATATGACCTTTAGGAAAAATCCGAGATATACAAGTTGTGGGACTCATAATGGATACTAGATCCTGCAAGTTTCATTTCCCTGTGACATCTCCTCTGGCAGTGAGGGCGTTGCGAAGTTGCGACATCTGAATACCGTGCAGAGGTTCACTTATGACGTCATAGGTCAGTGACCTGACCTGACCCAAAAATGCGGTTGGTGTCAAAAGATCCGGCTTGGATCAAAGGTCAGGTATGCCAAGTTTCAGCTCTCTATCGCCAGCGTGTTCGGAGCAATCGCGAAAAAACCCTATGGGGGGGGGCGGCACCCGCCCCCCCCCTCGGCCGGCGAGGGTTAAAGCGTCATAACCATTGAAGTTTTAGACATATCACCATGAGGCAAAGTGTGAAATGGAGGGAATAGATCAGGCTTTAATTTGAGGATAACAATATTGACATAATTAGCTAATTAATGAACTAAATTAAAATTCAAAAAATAAATTTTGATTTTCTGAAAAATGGGTACCCTTCGATTTTGCTGATTTTTACATATTTCATCCTCCCATACATAAGCTACATCATATAAAAAAATCCAGAATGGGCCGACGTCTACGTAACTGCCTTTTGGACTTCGGAATGTCTGGCACTCGCGAGTTTCGTTTTAGCAACCAAGGAGAGGCGCTACCCGGAGATGCTTCTTTCTGCCCCAAACCAAAGCAAACCTAGCCTGACCTGACGTGACCTGACCTAATCTAACATGCGTAAATATGTACAGCCCTCACGGCAGTTGCCGACTGGCCAAATGCTACTTAGATACGAACATTAGCCCTCACGACATTTGCCGGCTGGCCAGATGCTACTTAAAAAACGAATGCGTGTTTAAACACTTGAGGCTAACCGGCCACGAGCCAGCCACCTTTAGGTTACGAGGTGGGTACACTCGGCACACTAACTACTAAGCCACGGAGATAGCTGGTCATCGCGGAGATGTAAGCCAGTTTTTTTAATGATGCAATTGGGCATTCTCCGGGCAGCGCCTCTCTTTGGTTGCAAAAAGGAAATACGCCTGACTCTCCCAGCGCTAGGGGAGAAAGGCCCGGTTTAGCCAAAAAAGGTATAAAAAACGGAATTTGAATTGTAGGTGGGGCGGTGGGGAACTTTATCGTGTGCCAATTTCATGGCCCTAGATCAATATCTTCAAGATCAAATGAGGTTAATCGTGATGAAATTTGCTATGGTGACTATTTTGCGTTTATACGCCCATAGCTCTATGAGTTACTGGCCGATTTTCCTATTTCTTCCTTTTTACGACATTTGTAGTGTTATGGGAATCTTTAGATAATCTAACCATAAATTTGGCAGTTAGTGGCCTGCTAAGAGTAAGATGTCGCCGGCAAAGGCGCGGGGATCGGCCGACGCGGGAAACGTTTCAGTCACAGATTGTGTTTGCACCCTAATAATTCAATTTTTACCAGTTGGTTTTCGTATTTATATGACCATTAGTTTGCCTGTACATTTTTAAGCCTTCACACAAAATTTGACACTAATCGATCATAATCAGCGGTAAGAAGCGCAGTGCAAAGATGGAACCGTCCGGCGCCGGCACAGTCTACCATTCAGGCGGCAACGGCCGACGCCGGCCGCCGCGCCGCTCCGGCAAGATGTTTGACTTAGCACCGCTATTACTAGAAAAGTTGTGGACCGATTTACCTATTGCTTGCACAGGAGGATTTGCAATTCAATTCTGGACAGATGCTGAAAGTTTGACGTTAATATAATAGTTATGGCGTGAGTTATTGGCGAAAAACAGGTGGGGTTGGCGAAATCCGCCCCTTCCATCGCCCGTGCTACGTTGCATAACTTGTTGCTATATCATCCAAAGTTATCGTTGGCCCACTCTAATTTTCTCAGCACGTATGCCTTACGTGTGGTGGAAGATAATGTCCAAATTTGAGCAAAATCGAAGGGTACCCATTTTTCACAAATTAGATTTTAAGAAATTAATTCAAAATAAAATAAATTCAAAATCACCAAAAAATGTTAAAATTACCAAATTTAACTAGCATAACTCCTCGTGTTCACGTTTCCGTTTGATTGAAATTAATAGCTTCAAAAATGTTGAAGCTATAGATCTTACAAGATTGCAATACACGTCCAATTCTGCTAAAAGAGCAGAAGTTTAGCGGCTTGTATCTCTGTAGCCCGAGGGCATATGACAAAATCCTTAGACCCTCAGAGGTTTCACCCAATAGCCAACAAGTATACCAAGTTTGAACAAAATCGCAGAGGTGGCCGATTTTGGCTGTCCCGGTTGACATGGAATGCCCCCTCTGTGACCTGACCTGGTATCAGTGACCTCAATTAGCAAAATATGTGTTTGACGAACATTTCCCCTTCGATGATTTTTAATGAAATGCATTTTACTCGATTTTACAATGCATTTCTTGAAAGGCCTGTAAACGGTGAAAATTCGACATTTGACCTCACCTGTGACGTCATCGGTTTGACCTAGGTCAATGAAATTGGGTCACAAGGTAGCCCTGTTGGGGCTATCCAACACCGTTTGTCGCTTGTCGCTATGTTGCGTGGTTCTCGAGATCTTAGGGGGAGGGGGCAAATTGCCCCCCCCCCAGCAGGGCGCGTTGCTCGGCAGACCCCAATAGGGCGCGGGGTTAAAGGTCACCTGCAATTTTTGTGGCAATAAATTGTGATAAACAAACGTCACATCCATGCCCGCATATTTGATGAGTTTACTTTGGGCAGGCAATGGGAAAAACTAAAATGCTATACTATCTTTTTCTTTTCAGTCAGATCGTGGCCTTACCGTAATATGAAATTCTTGAGTTGATCATATATTCTACTATATACTTTGATCATATACTCAACTCATTCACTCTCGGACTACGTGGAAAAGCATTTGTCAACATTATCAAACTGTTTTCTGATCAAATACAAACAACAATGATTCCCAATAAATGCACAAAATTCAATTCAGAACTGACTGGCATTTAAAAATATTGAAATTAGCCTCCGCCGGAGTCAAAGCCGAAACGGCATGACTTCATACTCCAATTGCTACCACGAGTTCGGGCAAGTCCGACTCCGAAATCTTGCCCACACCCGTGCGATACCTATTCCGCTCTTTAGCAGGCCTGATCGAATTGACCATAGCCGTCCCGGCCAGAGGACTAATTTCACCGTGTTTCTCCTCTCTGGCTGGCAGGACGTGGCGGTGTCTTGCGGCGGCCGCCGGCGCCCCCTGAGGCCGGCTGTCGCCGCGTATACCGGCTGGGCGCCGTCTCCTACCGACAGGAGGAGGAGTGGCCGGCCGTCGGCGGCTGCGTGGCGCCCCTGCTCACGCCTGCGCTGCTGCGCCGCTGTGTGGAGCAGCGCGCCCGCCGCCGGCGCCGGCCCACCTCGCTGCTCGTGCTGGGCGACTCCCGGATGCGGCTGCTGTACCAGCGGCTGGCAGAGGAGCTCGGCGCGCCCACGCCGCCGGAGACCACCAAACCGGACGGCTCCTGGCAGCGTCACATCCACTGGACGAACTCTCCGGAGCGCTGGTGTCAGCTGTGTCCGTGGAACTGCTGTCCGCGCGCCGCCGCCGCCGCCGGCGTGGCGCTGCGCTTCGAGTGGCGGCCGTTCTGGACAGAGGCCATGGTGTCGGAGCTGGAGGCGGCCGCTGTGAGCTGCGAGCGCGGCCACCGCGACTGTCCCGACCTGGTGCTGGTGAATGGGGCGCTCTGGTACCAGTTGCTGTCGCCGCGCCTGGAGATGGCTGAGCTGATGCGGCAGCAGGTGTCTCGCGCGGCGCCCGCCCTCGCCAGGCTAGCCTCACTGACCCGACTCGTATGGAAACTGGATGAGGAGACCATCAACGACATCGTGACCGACGTGCACAGGTCGGGCCCGGCTGAGGTGCCCACCCTGCACGCCGTCGTCTACGACGCAGCGCGCAAGGTAGGCTCAAATCCTAACGTGACTTTAAAGCTGCATGACGTAGGTACTACGCTCAACACCTTTACCATGAAACATGAATGCAAACCTCCTCTGCTGCTAGAGCTGTCGTCACAAGAAATAATCAGTCGACAGGAGGCGTTCATCATGGCTGCAATATTTTGTGTCGTGAGGGCCGTTCGTTACAAATCGTAAACTCGTCAGTTCGCTGCAATTTGCATTTTGCAGTGCGGTGGACCGGTGTGCTTTTCTGATAGCTGTTGTTGCGCTGCAGATTCCCGGTCTGGTTATCTGGTCTTCAGCACTTCCCGAATCGACCGGATTTACCCGAATCAAGTGTCAGCCGTTGAAGCAATTCGTCCGATCCGGCGTTCTGAACGAGGCGACGTTTCACCACGAGTGCGGGCAGGACGTGGTACACGGCAGCGTAGCCGTCATGACCAAGGCCGTTCAGATGATGTTCACTGATCTGTGCGCTCGGGATTTAGATTTCACAACTCTCGAAGAGGAAACCCAGAACATGTCAGTCATGCCACCGTTCTGTTGTTCAACTCAAATGGATACATGAGTGTGTGCATTAACAAATGTTTGATATTATGTGGCTCGTTGTTTCGTTCGTATAAGTAATAAGACTAAAAAATGTTGCTGTCTTTCACAAGTTTAAACCTGCTCCGGGCCGGTGTTCGGGGCCAATCGCGCCTGGCCGGGGGGGGGGGGGGAGAGGTCCGTTGGACCCACTTGCCGTTCAGCCCCTGATCGAGCTAGAGCTTCGTGGAAAAAAACGAGCGTATTGCCCGTGACGAGTGGAAGCCGGCGATACCTTATTGGATGAACTTAAGTCGTTGGATGAACTTCCAGGTCAGGTCAATAACCCAAAGGTCGGGAAAATTAGGACCAGTCAGAATTGGGTTGGTATGGATTTTTTTTTCGAGGTCCTGATCACAAATTTCAGGTTAGTTTTGATCACCGATGATGTCTTCATGCATTTAGGTCAGATCGAGTCAAGTCAGGTCAGGTCAGGTCAGCCAGTAGGGGTCCTGCCGGGCCGCGTATTCATAATAGGTGCCAACTTCCAACCACCGTCCACCACTGACAGCTTCGTTACATGCTACGAAGACACCAAAACTACTTAGTACATGTTCAAATGGTTTCTTAATTCGAAATCAGCTAAAAAACGAGAATTGAAACATGTAAAGCTAGAAAAGGTGAACCAAGGTCATCACGGGTCAATGACCTGACCTGACCTTCACGTGATCTTGACACCAACCATTATGCATGGGATGGGACCGATATCATTTCACATGTTTGAACGTTTAAAACGACAAAAAGACTACATACGCGCGAATAATGTGGGCCAACATACGCCGAATCGCGAATCCGGCCAAACATGGTCTCGAAAATAGGTCACAGGTCAAAGGTCATTTGGGTGAGGCTCATGAAATTTTCAGGTTATATGTAAAGTTAACTAACTCGAGGGCATTGAAAATCTCGTCGCGATCGGCCGCTTTTTGCGCGAGTTATTCGCGTAAACCGAGGGGGTCCGTTCGACCCCCTATATGTGCGAGGGTTACATTTTTCGAAAAACCGGCGCATAACTTGGGAACCAATAGCGATGCAGCACCGCGGAAAATCAAATTAGAGATAACCCTTTTAACGCTCTTTCTGGAATAGCTCTGAAATTTAACTAGGGCCAACGGTTTAGTCTCCAGAGGAAAAAAAAAACGCGTAAAATATCCGTTTTTACGAAAACAGATTTTCTGAAATAGCTTTAGACTCAATAAAGGTATGCCATTATTTTGCCAGCATCGTGTTCCTCAAGTCTAGAAGCGTCGAACAGACTATAATTTGACCTTGAAAGGTCATTTTGAAAATTTGACCTCAGGTCAAGGCCACGACCTGACCGGAAAAGGCAATGTTGCATACCAGTAAATCCGTATCGTCGACCTGAGCATACCTAAGGTGCTTTTTATCGCTCTGGTATGCCTCTATCAAATGTTATTGCCAAAAAACTGCTGAGGACTTTTCATGAGATGACCTAGGGGACATAAGGAGGGGTCAGAGGCGCTAGTTTCCTATCGAGTGTGTAGATTTTACCTGTATCCCGATGTTTGAGTGTCTACTGTCTAGAACTGCGTTCGTCCAAAAGAGACGCCTTTCAATTTTCTCCCATTTCCTTCTTACGGAGAGGTCGCAAAATTGCCCTTAGGTCACCGATGTCAAAATTCCGAGATAAACATTCTATAGTCACTGTCGCCGTTATCAATCGCTGAAAGTTTCAAGGCGAGCGTTTAGTCGGTGTAGCTTTGACTAGAATTCTAGCTTTTCTGACGTGAGGTCCCTTGACGTGACGTGACCACGGAGCGTCGCCTTTTTTAGATTTATGCGAAAAACCGCAGGGGGCGTCCAAACCACCGGCCCGGCGCGGGCTAATGTGAGAATGTGAGGCAGTTAACTAATCTATCGGCACACAATGTGCGACATCAATAACATTCCCACCTGAATGTTTGTGCTCTAGCTTTCTTTCATAACAAACAATACAATACTACTGCGGTGTGGTGGGAACGCGAGTAAAATCGAGTGCAGCAAACTCAATTGCCGAGATGTCACTTATGTTGTGTGGCTGACACCCCGCATATGGTGAACGTGGTATCATAGATAGCATGATTCATGTTATCTATGGTGGTATCCATAACACCTGAAGCACCCACTTGTGTATGCTGATGTAGGCGGTGGTGGTGACGCAGCCCTGCGACAGCGCCTCGAACACGATGGCTGCGTCCAGACGCGTCAGTCCGGTACCGCCATACTCCTCACGGGCGTAGATGGCCCCGAAGCCGAGCTCGGCGGCCCGACGCATCGTGTCCACCGGAAATATCTCCTGATGGAGGAGCGTGGGGAGCGCTGTCAACAGGGAAACTAAGGTAGAGGCCAGGGGACAGAGATGAGATAACAGGTATCGGGGAAAATGGAAGAGGAAAAAGGGGTAGAGGTGGATAAGGGTAATAGGCAGTACGGGCACGAGAGTGACTAACAAGTCAGTGTTATTCTTGTCAGCCACTCCCACATACATTCCTTCAAAATATATTAGCTTTGGCACCCAAATAACTACCTGTAAGTTGGATCACTTTCTGCATTGTCATTTTTTTTTTTGCATTACAAGTGGCTAACACTTCAACTCTTTATCCCGTCTACTGTAATAACAGAAGCAAAATAGAAGTTTGTTTTGCAGATCATATTAAACCGCGCCCAATTGGGGTCCGTTTATAACGCGACCTGGTGGGGGGGGGGGGCTATTTTCCCCCTCCCCTCGTATCTCCGAAACTACTGGACGGATCTGCAAAATTCAAATGGCGTTCGAAAGCCCTATCAAATTTGTCGGAGGAAATCCAATTTCATTGACCTCGAGGTCACCGATGACGACACAGGTCAGGTCAAAGATAAAATGTTTTGCCGGTCACGGCCCACGGGTCTTCTAGGGAATGCGCTATAACATCGAATAAAACGCATTTTATCGAATATTAGCGATAGGGCGTCAGTAACCTAGTGCATATGTTGCTATTAGAGGTCACTGATAATACCAGGTCAGGTCACCAAGGGTCAGCACGTGAACCCAATTTTACTAGGGCTGTGTGATGCATGTTTCATGGCCAACTTTTCATTTCAAACTCAATGGTGTTGGTTATAAGACCATCAGGAACGATTTAGGTCACTTCCTGGTGGAGGTCAGGTCAAGGTCAGGTCAAAAAGGTCAAATTTCAAAGTTGATATTTTTTGCATAAAATGATTATCGATTCGATGCAGCTCGTCACAGCGAGTCTAATGGTGGTCTTTGTTTTGCGCTACGTGGTCGACTAGCATTGCTAAAAATTGATTTTTAAAATTTTACGTCATCAATTTTGAACAGTTTTTTTTTGCTATAGCTTGGCCAAAAAAGAGGTATCGATGTAAACTTTGGTATAAATAGAAGTCGGTTATGGCTATAACATATATTCCGCTTTTATTTCGAAAATCAAAAAAACTTTTTGGATTTTTTTGGCAACTCTATTCATTTTTTTAGGGGTCAAAATTCGAAAAATTCAAAATTCCGAGATAGCAGTTTTGTAGCCCTGCTAATTCCACACCTTTTATGTCTTAAACGTTTTTCTGTATCTTCAAAGCTATAGGCCTGACAGGCGACAGCTCTTCCCACGAAACCCTTTTTTGGGTCGAAAACGGCAGAACCTATCAAAGCCTTTAGAAAATTTTGGTCACAATGTGTAAAATTGATGCCCGAGGGGGTACTGAAAGTTTGGTGACGATCGGCGCAGCGGTTCTGGAGACATCGAAAAGTTTGGGGGGGAGGGGACAAAAATAGCCCCACCCCCACCAGGGCATGGGTTAAGGCAGAATTTAACAAAACATGTGGTAAATTTCACAATTCTGTTATAATATTTATGACACATATAAATCATTTATACAACCACACAGATCTGCTTACCTGCTGATCCCATTCCGCCATTTTTGGTGCCATTTCATTTTTGGCAAAATCAAATGCCACCTTCTGAATTTGTTGTTGCTCTTCTGTCAGACCTGATGATGCTGAAAACAGAATATGACATTAAAAACAGTCGTACAAATTAAGAGAAGGCAAGGACATCAAACTCCTGTGGATACCAGGACATATCGGTATCCCAGTCAATGGAGCGGCCGATAAACTTGCCAAAGACGCCCTAAATCTTCCACCCAGGAATCATCTTGCTCTTCCTCTTCCTGATTTTTTTCAATTTTCTCTTTCAATCCTTCCAGGATTATTGATTTTATGAATGGGAAGCTCAACCTCAATGTGCGACTTCGTCTTTTAATGGGTCCTCCCGTCGGCGATATGAATAAATAAATAAATAAATAAGTAAACCTTATCCGTATCTTTTCAACATCAAGCCCAAATCAAGCCGACCCTCGGCCACTTTTATTCTTCGAGCCAAGACTCGAGGATAAAAGAAAGAGTCCTCGCCAGGTTGTCGCTTGGACATACACATCTTACACACCGGTTTCTAATTCTCCGAGCACCCCACCAACATACCCATACTGCACTCCACACACTTGTTACACCATACAACACATACTACTACAATGCCCACCAGGGGTGTAATTTTATATCTCTTTGTGGGGGCAGATGCACCCACAATCCTGAAATATGCCCCCAAAATGATGAAAATGCACCCACAAGTCTTCTTTTACAAGCGCCCTTTCGAGAGCACGTCACCCTTCGCATGCTCTAGCGGCGTCCTCCTGACCGTCTCGCGTTCCTGGATAATATAACGTTTTTAGTCACTCAGCGCTATTCTGGGAGAATGGCGCCCTTTTGACAGTACTGCGCCGTTCCCATGGTCCAACGGCGCCCTCCTGACCATCTCGCGCCCTTATGTCTGTGTTCACTTTGCATCCCTCGACTGTTCGACGCCATTCTGGCCTCTCAGCGCCCCTGGACCATGCAACGTGTTTAATCGCTTGACGCCCCGCTGGAAGAATGGCGCCCCTTGTCATGGTCTCACGGCGCCCTCGTAACCTTCTCGCGCCCCTATGTCCCCGCCAGCTTAGCACTACCTACTGACTGTTCGGCACCCTTCTGGCCTCTCAGCGCCCCTGGACCATATAGCGTTTTCAATCATTCGGCGCCCTTCTAGGAGAATGGCGCCCTTATCATGGTCTCACGGCGCCCTCGCAACCGTCTGGCGCCCCCATGTCCCTACCGACTTCGCATTACTGACTGTACGGCGCCGTTCTGACCTCTCTGCGCCCCTGGATCATATAACATTTTTAATCACCTAGCGCCTTTCTGGGAGAATGGCGCCCTTGTCATGGTCTCACGGCGCCCTCGTAACCTTCTGGCGCCCCTACGTCCCGTAACCTTCTGGCGCCCCTACGTCCCGTAAGCGGCCTGTCGCCCCTACAGCTGGACAGTGGACACTCACAATCATTTTAGGAAAATTACACCCCTGATGCCCACACCTCCACCATCACCGGCGACACGTAACTCAATACATTGCTTCACATGGCCTCAACCTGGATCTCCCCACTCTCTTGGGATATGACCATCCACTTCTCCTCGAAAAACTCTTCACATTCCTCAAGCACACGCAACTTCTCCACGAACATTAACCCCCGGCCTGGCCCAACTAGTGCCAGAAACTTTCTCCTCTCAGACATTCTTCTTCGCTATTTTCTCTCCGCTGCTCCTCAGTTCATTTCTTCGTTGATTGTACGTGCTAATGATTGATTTTCCATTCTTGCTGTTGATGTTGTTCTCGTGATTTTTTTTTGTGATTCTCGTTCGATGTTGTTCCCCCAACGCTTCTCATTCGCACTAATTGCTCCGTTGAATCGTCGATCTCGCCTAATCACCTGTGATTTACACGCGCGTTAACGGTGGCGGCGGCGCGGCACCGCGAACACTTAGGTGACTCCATATTGCGCGCTCCGATCAGGTCGATTGGGCCGAGATCGTTGAGCGTCAACACCGACTGGGGGCTTGGCTTTTCCTGCCTGGCCTCCGGGTGCCCTTTCCCGCGCGGAGTCACCTCCCTGTCCCTCTTCTTATCCCTCCTTGCATAGACGGTCTCCATATTGCGCGCTCCGGTAAAGGCCCCGTGCCAACAACCGTCGCAGCACCAACACCGACTGGGGGCTGAAGCGTTTACTGCTAGGCGACCCCGGGTGTCCCTCCCCGCGCGGAACCGTCTCCCATCTCCCTCTTCGTCACCCTCCTACACATTAGCTTAAACGATACAGGGTTTTTTTCCTGCGCTATTTTGGCTTCAGCGCGGGGTTTTCCCTTTGCAATAGGTGCCGGGTTTTTCAGGTCTTAGAACTTTTCCCTGGCTATTACACCCCACAACCGAACACTGACACCTTACACAAACATTACTGTGTGTATGAATGTTAATAAATAGGGTGAAGTCGTATAAGAGTACGCACTTAGTGGATTTCTTGCTCTCATTTGTTTAATATTTGAAAGAAATAAATCGCAAATAGGGAATATTAAAGTTCATTGAATTAGCTATCAACCCATGGGGCAACGATCCTTCAGCGTAAATGGAAGTGGTCTAAAACTGACATTTTCCGAACCGCTGCAGTTGCGTACTCTTACCATATGGGGTGTGTAAGAGTACGCACGCCAGGCGGGTGGAGTACGCAAGCATATGAACACACACCTATGCAGCTTGTACTGTCCAAATGCTTAACTTCAAACTCAGAAGGCATTTAAGTTAACCCGCGCCCTGCTGGGGGGGGTGTTTGAACACCCCCCCCTTGTGGTTTTTCGCGAATATCTCAAAAACGGCGGCGCGGAGCGCCGCCGTTTTTGGTACACCTTATCATACATCAATTCTACACATGTTGTGAAAATTTCACACCAAGGTCATTCAAGGTCAGGTCACCAGGTCACTTGAAGTGACCTCACCTCATAAAAAGCTTCAATGTCTGTCATAGCTACACCGAGTGACCGATCGCTTTGAAACTTTCAGCGATTGCTAAGAGCAATAGCATGTACAAAATGTATATCTCAGAATTTTGATATCGATGACCTAAGGTCAGGTCAATTTTGCGACCTCCCCATTATAAATAAGTCAATGGGAGAAAATTGAAATGCGCCTCTTTTGGACGAAAGACATTATAAACACTCCCAAACACCGAATTACAAGTGGTTTAGACACACAGAACATGAAAATGGTGTCCGTGACCCTTGTTTATGCCCTGAGGTCATCTTAGGTCACGAATGGTATCTAACAGTTTTTCGCAAATAACTTTTGATAGAGGCATGCTAGAGCGATGAAAACGCCTTAGATGTGTTCAGCTCGACGATACGGATCGACTGATATGCAACATGACCCTTTCCGGTCAGGTCATGACCTTGACCTGAGGTCAAATTTTCAAGTTGACCTTCCAAGGTCAAGTTATAGTTCATTCGATGCGTCTTGACGAGAGGAACACGATGCCGGTAAAAGTAAGCGCGTACAAGGCTTGGGTCAAAAGTTATTGCAGAAAAACTGTTTCCGAAAAAATCGGCTATTTTTGCAGTTTTTGCCCCCTGCAGGCAAAACCGTTGACGTTAGGTCGAATCTGAGAGGATTACTCAGAAAGGGCGTTAATAGGGCTATCGAATGCGCTTTTCCGCGGCGCTGTAGCTCTATTGGTTCCCTAGTTATGCGTTGGCTTCTTGGAAATTTTCGACATTCGACCTGGAAATCGGCGAAATTTTGCCTTCAATGACCTCTGGTGACCTGACCTTTGACCTGACCAAAAAATTGACCGAAGTGATTTCGTCATTATTTTTGACGCTCTTTCGAACGCCGCCTTCCGCGTATCGCTACGTGGCCCAGGAGCCGAGTTACAAGGGGGGGTGTTCAAACACCCCCCCCCCCCCCAGCAGGGCGTGGAAATCCAGGACCCCCAGCCGGGCGCGGGTTAATTCTAGTATCCAAAAAGAAAAACCTAAAATACATCTTTCAAGTCTATAAATCAGGAAATAATAATGTCGTGTGTTTCTTAAAAAAATGTACAATCAAAAGGGAGAATAACTCGTATTTGGAAGAATTTCGGGTACGCGTCTGCATCACAGTGCTCCATTGATGATATACCTACAAAACAAACGTCATTGAGCGATAGATTAATTATTTCATATTTCTGTATATTCGATTTAATGTATAATTCTGCGTACTCTTACCCTCCTGAACAGTGCGTCCTCTTACCGTACATGCAATTCGCGTACAAAACAACCCCGAAACGTTGTGCAAAACTTCGCAAACAATATTGCACTGCACAGTATTTCCCCAGATAGCCTCACAAGTTTCCCACAACAATCACGGAAATGTACCTTATCTCAACTGCCAAGTATCAAAATTATTGTACCATATCATAATAATATCATAACGCTCGAAATTAATATTCATCGCCTTAAACTCAACAGCGTCGCCGCTCAACGCCCACGTTCCGTTGGTGACAAGCACGCACTGGCGGCTTCATGTCACTTCATGAACTCGACAAACCCGCGTTGCTAAGCAACCGAAACAGCTGATGCGTACTCTTATCGCCCGCGTACTCTTACCCGCCCTACCCTACAAGAGCCAATGTTGTGTTTTCGGTTCCAGCGCCTTCTTTCGGTACTTCAGCAACAAGTAAGTACTCCGTTAGCTTTGCCACACCTAAGATAGGCTCCCACGTTATTTGCTCCCGGGTTAACGTCAACTGGTTTGACGTAACTTTTGCATCCCGGCCAAAATTGCCGGTTTAACTGTCCCACCGCTCGAGACTGGCGCTAGGCTGGCCGAGCAAGTTGAAAGTTCAAATACTCCCAATTAATACACCACCACTCCCTTAAAATTAACCCTCGCCGGACCTATTGGTTTTCTACATACGCGCCGGCCGAGGGGGGGGGGGGGCGGGTACGACCCCCCCCCCCTCGCCGTTTCGCCCCTGGTGGAGCTAGCGCGTCGCGGAAAAAACGAGCGTGTGCGCCGTTACGAGACGCAGAGATTGGTACCCGATTTTAAGGTCCTAGGTCAACCGGTGACCTCTGAGGTCAGGTCAAGTGCCCCAAGGTACGGTTCAGTTTTTGTTGAATAACTTCGCAAAAAACGGCCGCAGAGCGCCGATTTTGGCAGCATCGTGTTCGTCTCGCTCAGGCGCGTCGAATGATGTACTTTTTGTCCGGGTCAGGTCAACTTGGGGTGTTGACCTCAGGTCAAGGTCAGGTCAGCACCCTCAGGTCACGAAGTTGGTCGAAAGAGGTCATGTCGCATATCATTCGATTCGGCAGGTCTTCCTGAGTCCATTGGTGGCTTTCCCAACTCGCTAGCTCAATTTGATCAAGAGTTATTGACGAAAAACTAATATGACCTTGATGACGTCATAAATGACGTCACGCAAGGTCAACATTGCAAAAGTGACGCATCTAACCTTGCAAGGAGTGCATCAAATCACGATTCTGTGTGCTTGAGATAGTTGGAGATCGTTCCCGGCGCCAGAATAGCAGTTTGAATTTTTCCCCATTGACTTATAATGGTGAGGTCACGAAAATGACCTGACCTCATATGACCTTTAGGAAAAATCCGAGATATACAAGTTGTGGGACTCATAATGGATACTAGATCCTGCAAGTTTCATTTCCCTGTGACATCTCCTCTGGCAGTGAGGGCGTTGCGAAGTTGCGACATCTGAAGACCGTGCAGAGGTTCACTTATGACGTCATAGGTCAGTGACCTGACCTGACCCAGAAATGCGGTTGGTGTCAAAAGATCCGGCTTGGATCAAAGGTCAGGTATGCCAAGTTTCAGCTCTCTATCGCCAGCGTGTTCGGAGCTATCGCGAAAAAACCCTATGGGGGGGCGGCACCCGCCCCCCCCCCCTCGGCCGGCGAGGGTTAACCTCCAGGGAAACAAGAATGGGACTCAATGCTATTGTAAGTGCTTAGTAGCTTTTTTTTTGGGGGGGGGTATTTGGTGGTGATTTTTGAAATATTTGCTTTGTTTGCTTTGATGTCATCTGCATTTTTATAAATTTAGCTCGAATGTTTGAATGGACAGATTGACAGGAGCCGGAGCCCACGCTAAGCAGAGCTTGTTGCGTAGACCCCAACCCCTACCGTCCGATCGCGCAATTCCGGGTATCGGGAGAATTTAGATGCCAAAGTTTAACGTGCCCTTCAAATCCGGACACGGCCTGCCCCACTCAACTGACTTCAACTGGCTGCGGCTGCTCCCACCAACCGCAGACCATCCCCGTCAGGAGTCTCAAATATCGAGCGCCGGAGCGTCTCGAACCCGGGCTTTCACTACCCGGAGTCCAATGCTCTACCAACTGAGCTACGGGACAGGCAAATTAACACAATATATCTGATGTGAATAAACACAATAAATTGCTTGATGCTCACCAGGTAAATGCTTACCAAGTAGATGGGTAAGGGGCAAAGGGGGCAGGATGCTCATAGGATTCTGCCTCTGCTTGAGGTCTCAAGTCATTGGATTCCATGTAACAGTTGTATTATGGCCGTCTCATCCCTATCTCCATATCATGTTGGGGTATGCCCAGTTACTTACATCATGGAATAGGAGTCCACTAAAAGGGCAGTTGCTCCAAATCATCAGACTAGTGGTCCTTTGTTGGAAAACACACTTACCAGGGATTTGTAATGGAATAAAGGGCAGAAAATTAGTGATAACCTAAGACTCTCATTACAGTTGCATAGTGTCAAAGTGAAGAAAATGGGGCTATAACTACCTGTTGCACCCTGTAAAAAACGGAAAAATCCACAAAATAAAAACATGTAAGAAATAAAACATTCTTGGAAGCTTGATAAGTGACAGCACACATTGAAACTTACATCACTTGTCCTCAAAACATGTATCAGTATGAGTTTAGTTTCACTAGACCACACGTTGAGTTGGGTAGTTGGGTACTACCGATCCCTGAGGTTAGGTTATTACGAGCGAGCGAGCGAGCGAGCGCAGCGAGCGAAGCGAAGTCTTTTCAATATAACGGAAAAATCTCAGTATGAGCGGCCCGGCCCGGCCCGGTCCGGCCTGTAACGCTTTTGAGAGGCTTATATCTCAGCAACCGCTGGACCGATTGGCCTGCGGTCTTTTTTGCTGAGTAGCCCCATCCCTTCTACCCCATAATTGACTACTTTGGATACATCTCAGTGACCGTCGTGGCACGTGCCACGTGAAAAGTCAAGGGTGTTCAAGCTGTTTGGCAAAAGTAGTAATTTTGAAAGGCTCATAGTCATATCTCAGCAGCTGCTTGGGCGATTGTCTTGCGGTAATTTGTGTAGGGTAGCTGCATCCCTTCTACCAAAGGTTGGATCTCTTGAATCTTGATCTATGTGGATTGTGGGTGACCCCTACTGTACGTGCAAAATGCAAAAAGAAGAGGTGCCAAATTTGTTCCCATTTCAATAACTCGGTAATTACTGGGGCTATTTCGCTGTAACTTGGTGTACAGGTAGGCACCCACCAGGCAATGCATTCCCATGTGTTGCAGTTAGGGTGCTACTGCACGTGCACACGTGCAGGGGGCGCTTCCAGATCTCGAGAACGGCTGGGCCGGTTGCACTCAAATTTGGTACACGGTTGGGAACTGGTTAGTAGGGTGCCAATTGCCATACAAAAGTCAGTTTGGACCCCGTTTGCATGTGCGCACGTGCAGAATGCCGCTTCCAGATCTCAGGAACGGCTGGGCCGATTGCATTTAAGTTTGGCACACCGCTAGCGACCGGCTAGAAGGGTGCTTTGCACAAGCCCGTTGGAAGTACCCTCTCACCTTTCTGCACGTGCAGGGCTCACTATCTCGCTTGCTCGTTCTATGCCCAAAAGGCGTTTTACTGGTTGGGTAAAAATTTCCTTAAGGCTTATTGTTATTTAAACTTTGTGAGAGCCTAAAGTTAAAGTTTGGCCAATATCTATAGGATTGCATAACAGTTGCTGAACCATTCATACAGGTGACATTACCATAACTCCTTGCTGGGAGTTGGGACGGGGGGGGCGGGGGATGGGGGGCATGAGTATATCTCATGAAAGGGGGCTTGCAATAGAATAATCACAAATATAAGACAACTTGCCATTTATTTGGATAAATAAGTAGGGATGTACCAAAGTCTGAATGCATCAATCTATTCCAATTCTCAAAATCAAGCACAAAATGAGCAAATAAATACATATAATGCGCAGAAGAGACATTGAAATAAACGCTAGAAACACGAATTATAGAATAATAAAAACCAAATGCATGGCTGACCCCCACCAGAACTTACCGTCTAACGATGTTACACTAGACAGGCATCTCTGAGGACGGAAAATAACATTTTGAGCGCATTTTGACCGAAATAATTGACCGCAAGCCGACGTAGCTATGCGCGCCGCCATGTTTTTATCAAGAATAAATTGAATAAGAAAACAACATTTTTCATTGAAAACCGAGAACAGAATTAAAACATCTCCTTGATATTTTGCCAAGATTTTTGTCAAAATAATTTTTTTGAAATTAGAGCGTTTAATGTCGTATTGAAAGCGAAAGGCACGCAGTAAGCATAAAAACCTGGTGGCAGTATCCAGAACTACGCTGGCAACTTGTCAAGGGAAAAGCTGCACGCCATGTTTTATTTGTTTATTTTTTAGGGTGTTGCAAATCGATCTTTGTGTTTGGAGGACTTGCGTTGATAGCTGGTAGCTAGTTCGTTGGAATGGAATGCGTTGGATGGTGAGTAAATGAATAAGTTCGTTTTTTAAGCGGGTGCAATATGAGGCACGCTCATTGAAACCCAAACCTAGCTTGAGCTCCATAATGATGAAGATCGAAGCTGAAGCTTCAGTTCAAGTTGTGCGTGCCAGATCACCTTGTGCTTTTGAATAAATATGAGATGCATCGCTATTGCATCATTATTAAGGGACAATGGTTCCTATGTGAGGGCACGTCCCACGGGTGCCGCCACTGAGGGGGACGCATCCTCACCCCCGCTCAAAATTGAAATGGCGAGGGGGCGTCCTCCCCAACTTCAACCTGCAACATTAAAACCTACAATCTACAAACCTAAAGGCTAAAACCCAAGCTAAAACCTACAAACCTACAGTGCCCTCTCTCTCCTTGGTTGGAGAATCTTTGTGTGGTGTCTGATCTGTACTTATACCTCTGACCTAACCTAACTTACAACCTACAATGAAGTAAACCTTCAAACATACAAACCTACAGTTCCTCTCATTGGTTGGAAAACCTTCTTGTGACATCTGCTCTACTAATGCCTTGTTATCATACTTGCAATTTGAATGTTTGAATTGCTTTTGCTTTGGTCAGTTCAAACAGAAATAAACCTTCAAAAGGATGCTGATAGTTTGTGAAATTCAGACCAGTCACACTGGTAAGCAAGTGTGGTGCCACATGGGAGGGCAATGAAGGGATTTTCTTCAGCAGTTCATGGAGTGGAGGGGCTATCCCATTCCCAATACACTGACTAGCAACTACCTAGACCTGAATATGACAGCCGCGATGAGGAACACCATTGCATCAGATAATTGTGGCATAGATCTTAGACCTGTAAGTGAATGCACTTGACAAGAATACAAAGGCTGCTTTCCCTTCATGCTTCATAGTTCAGGTGAACATGAGAATTTCATGTGCTGAGGGATGATGCTTCAATAGGGCTAGATTAGCAGATCTGGGTTAAACTTGCGGTTGGGTTGGATTGGTCACCTTTGCTGTAGTGGGCTGTGAGGGCGTAAATGCACATCCAATTATCTAGAGGACTGACAGGATCTGATAAAATGACTTAGAAAAGGCGTTTGATAGCTCTGCAGCTAATAGGTACTTCCAACAAGACTACAGCAAGCCAATAAGGCCAGTTTTTTAGTACCGGGCTACTGCCCCATTGTCCCTTTCACATGGGATCGCAGACATAAAAATCCGAATTATTAGAGTTGCTGGCACTGATACAGTCGATTGATCGACTCCGACTCCATCTTCGACTACAGGCATCCCTTTAAAACCTACATCACAGTGATATTGCTTGTGATGTGACCTTCAACCCACCCTCAAATGGAGTTACCGGGGCAAAACGGACTTGAGCCGAATCAAATTGCTGGAAAAAATGCTACAGAAACTGGCTAGACAGGCACTGGAGAGAACTCCAGTACCAAACAAACCAAAAGACCAAGTTTGTTGACTTGTCCCTTGCTCGATCAAACTTGACTTGGGTATCATGTATCAGAGCTTTTTGCGTAAATTCCGACCGGTTCCGTCGGATGTGCAATTTTATCCAATTACAAGTCCGGTGTGTCCAAGTTGATTTTCACCGCCAGAGTCCTATTTTTGTGTTGACGGTGCGCTGCTCCCTGTCCGGCAGTGCCTGTGACTGAGCCGGTGTCGGTGTGACAGCACCCTGGAGCAGGCCGAGCAGTCGCCGCCGCCGCCGCCGCCGCCGCCGTCGGCCGCGTGGACAGCCATGTCGCGCCCCGGCTCGGCGCGGAACAAGAACATACCTGGCGATAAGGTGAGTGATTCAATCCAGCGGAACAAGGACGACGGTGGAATGGTGCCTTGGCGACATAAACTGCATGATAGTTGTACAATTGTTATTTGTTGGTTGTAATTTTGCTGGATATTATTTGTGTTCAATTGTGACGTGACCGTCTATCAGCTATATTTTCTTTGTTCGATGTTCATTCGTCTGACTGAAATAGGCTGATGCTTCTCATGTTCCTCACAATATATGATTCACTGCATTGTCAAAGACTGTAGATGATACCTGACATGCCGACTTACCATGACTGTCGGCCGTTCAGATCAACCTGCGGCTGATCATGGTCAGCGGCAAGAGTCGCGAGTTCCTGTTCGGGGCGCACGACTCGGCCGGCGACATCGCTCAGTTTGTGTTCGACACGTGGCCGGAAGGTGGGTGGAGCGGCCGACTCTGTCATGGGACGTGCTGCTGGTAGGGGTGTGGGATGGGGGGCCCTCCACCAGTGTCTGGTACTTGCGGACGGTGGAGAGAAGTGAAGGTCTGCTGTTGGGTGACGCTGTCGAACCGGGAAAGCGTCTCGTCGGGTGCTAGACTTGTAGATAAAGAAGTGTCATGTCAGGAGATTGTTTCTGCAGATCGGGTAGGGTGCCTTGCTGGCTGGTTAGTATCACTTTAGGGCAGGTAATTGTCACTTGACTGCAATGTTTTCTGGTCGTCTCCTCTCCCCTGGTGACGTCTCCGCTGCCCGGTGCCGGCAGACTGGAGTGAGGAGGCCGTGGCCAAGGCCGAGGTGCTGCGACTCATCTACCAGGGCCGCTTCCTGCATAACAACGTGACGCTGGGCGCTCTGGGTCTGCCACTCGGCAAAACCACCGTCATGCATCTGGTGCCGCGCGAGAACCTGCCAGAGCCCAACTCACAGGGTAAGTCAGATCTCAGGGAACCTGCCAGAGCCCAAACTCACAGGGTGAGTCAGAGAACCTGCCAGAGCCCAAATCACAGGGTGAGTTTACAGTGAGAGAACCTGCCCATGCCCAACTCACAGACTGCCAGAGCCCAACTCACAGGGTGAGTCAGAACGAGAGAACTTACCCCAGTCCAACTCGCAAGGTGAGTATGAGAACCTGCCAGAGCTCCACTGACAAGGGTGAATTAGTGTGAGAGCTTACGCACAGGTGACAAACCGATGAGTTTCTTTCACTTTTTATTTGGTATGTTTGATATTACGCATATTCCACACGCACCAACTTTCGGTTCTGCGGGAACAAACGCTTCTCGTCACTAAGGTCAGCAGACGACGGGGGGTTGCCGAAATCCGATAGATAGATATAGATATTTAATATTTTGTGCTTTGTCGTCTGTCTGTATTTGTTCTTACAAATGGCCCTTAGCCCCAATATATGCTGAGGTAATGTGACCCCATTCGTCGGAGGGCCGGAACGTGCAGTGCCTCTAACCGAACCCCTCTCCCCCCGCAGATCAGCGCCAGAAGAGCAAGTCGGGCGGCAGCCGGTGCTGTTCGGTGTCGTGCGTCATCTTGTAACGGGTGTGCGCGCGCGCCGCCCCCTGTGATACACCGCCGCCGCGCCGGGTCGGCCGGCGACTGGCCCGAGCCGGCCCCGGACGGCGCGGCCATCCTGTCCAGCCGTGGGCACTGGTACGTAGCCAGGACGCCGCCCGCTGAGATCGTAGATAGGTATTTAATTGTCCGCGAGCGCCGCTTCTCTGCACCACAGAGCCGGCGAGGCGGCCGAGCGCCGACCGCTACTCGCTCATGCCTCTTATTTGCCCGTTGTTCCCTGGATTGTGATTTATTGTGCGAGTGTGAGCGAGAGACGAGTGGCTGGTGTGATCGACACAGAGTTGATGAATCTTGTTAGGCTTTATCATCGAGACGCAGGCTCGCGAAGGGCTGGCATTGGATCCGCAACTACCGTGCAAGAGAGCCTCATTGACGTTGTTAGGAGATTATTGAATTTAATGGCTCTTAGCGTGAATTATCATCCGCTAGTGAAGCACCGAGATATTCTAGCTAGCCCCCGTCTCTCACAGTGGTGACAATCTTTTATCGTTTGTTCCTCATTTGAATGTTTGTCCTCTGGGGCTGACAGAGAGTTGTGGGATGGTGCGCGTACCTCCCGCTAGAGGCGCTAATGCTGTCTGCGTCGGGTGGACCCTGGCGCGCCGTGGCTGGTGAGCCGACCCGAGAGTAGGGGCGGGACGAGGCCATGCCTGGATGCCGAGATGCCGTGTTGACTTCAGGAGGAGTAGGAGGATGCGCGGAGTTCGGGGGGGGGGAGGAGTTATTGGTGTGTATGGGGACGAGAAGTGGAGTTTGTTCAGAGGGCAGTAGCCGAGGTGGCGGCTTTGTTCACTGGAAAGTCGAGGGCTGGCTGCCTGAAATGCGGGGACTGTGGACGTGGAGCCGTGATGGCCCTTGGTGCGGGGCGCGCCGCGTGGTAAGGCCGTGTGAGCAGATATGTCTTGTGAGGCGAGTCCTGGCGCCGCTGTTTGGTAGACCGGCACGCGGCGCGAGCGAGTGCGGTATTGGCCGATTGCGCATCGTCTCTGGGTGCGGAGTACATTTGTGGAACGGGTTCTGATTCCTTCCCCTGGACTGTTAGGTTGAGAGTAATTAGCTGATGAGAGATTTCGCTAGATCTGATAGTGACAATAATTCCCCATATTCCGAGATGTCTGATCTATTAGCTTCAATGACTCCCTGCGGCATTGTTCCCGCAGGCCCGCTGAACAATGTTGTGGTGGTTATGTAGTGTTGTTTGACTCGCATTCAGGGTGAGGTGTCTGGTTGTGATCGGGACATCCGTGTGTTGTGAATCACCAGCTATCGCATAATGGAGCTGCATGCCCCCGCTCACATGGTTTATATCAGTCTTATCAAATGAACATTAGCTGTCGCTTCTGCGCGCTGTACAATCGTTGTGGTTTTTAGTGGTGCTTCATTATCTTTGTGCCAGCTCATGAGCAACACGTCCGCGAATTTCTCATGTCGGGAGTTGTGGAGAGTGAAAGACAATTGGATAGATGCCTCCGATTCATCTGTATTTTAGCCCACTGATTGAGCCTTAGTGGCGTGATACGTAGCTATCTCTGAAGAGTTGATTTATCGATCTGGCGCCTTCGCGCGTCTGTGTTGTTTTTCCGCGCGTCTGTTAGAGATTGACCGCCCCTGTGAGTGCATGTTACCGATCCCCTGAAGTCGGAGCGCATGTTACCGCCTTTGTGAGCGCCTGTCCCTGCCCGTGTGAGATCCTACGCCCGTCTCGGTCTGCCTGTGCCACGTATACCCTGCTGTTGACTGCTGGCCTGGCAGTGTCTGTACGAAAGCGTCCGCGATATACAGTGCAGTGGTAGTGACTGAAATGACAACGGTGTGACTGAAATACTCAGCGGTACAACGTCCGGTCCGGCCGGAGTGGGGATGGGGGGGGGGAGTCGGGTGCGACACTGGACGCGTTCTGAATGACCTGCGGCCACCAGCGACGAACGCCGGGCCCGCGTGCGTGTGTGTCGGGCCACTCTCGATGTACGTTATGACAATGGTGTGGTGTGGACTGATTGTCCGTAGAAGTTGTCTCGCTGATGTGCAGAAATACAATTCTTTAAATGCCGATGGTTATTGGCGAAGTTGCTGTAAGAGCATTTGCTGGGGGAGGGTGTCCCCCCTCTCCCAACTCCTTGATTTCTGTTGTTATATGGCTCGGTTTCTGTCAATTTCTTTCCGACTACTGCCACCCGTCAACAACCGTTGGTCATAATTTGCCCCCCCCCCCCCCGCCAAGCAAAACGACCCGGTGGGCGGTGGTGCTTGGCATGTGGGCGGGGCTAAGGCTGGGCTGGGCTGCGATGCCGTTTTTTTTTTGGGGGGGGGGTATGCGAGCGCGATCTCGGGAATTGTGAGCTTAACATATACGGCCGTAATTCACACTACCTCTGCCGGGTCAACATGCATCAGTCGTAGCGATTGCAAGTATTCAAGTACCTATTACAAGAAGAGTACCTACTCTGAATCGTAACTCCCACCACTAATCACATGACTGTGGAGTTGTTTCAAGCCTCTACGAAACAAACAAGACTCCCTCCATTGATTTCTGCTACTGACGTCATCAAACTAAATCCTTCACGCTTATATTTCGAAATAAATGTTAGTTCATTACATGAAATTTAGGCTATCATTGAACATATAAGAAACATTAAGGGCTTATATCGAAAATAAATTGCGTTTTTCTGTAAATTTTATAGAATTCACTGCGAGTAAGTCACTACTATTTGTCTTTTTTGATGACGTCAATAATCGTTTGGGAAGTACCAAGAAGAAGTAAGTTAATTACAATTTCTTATGCTTTGTGTACAAAGTGGCGCGGGACGGAGAGGATAAGGTAAGAATTTGGACGGAATTATGTGTTAAAGTAGGGTTAATAACTTAAATTCTGTAATTTATTACGTTTCTACAAAAGAGAGGGGCTTTTAGAAGCATTTGTTCAGCCATTTATAGCAATAAACTCGTTCCTGTAGCTTGTTCCTAGAGTCGAAGAATTTGGCAACTATAAATGACGGTTCATTTTGTTTGCGCCTACTGCTGAAGTTATTATTTTTATCATTTATACCAAATCGTATTTTGAATATATGCATCATTGCAAATCAGCTTGTTATGCAGAGGCATGGACTGTGATCCCCACCAACCATTTGGGCTCTTTTGTGTGATGGGAGGATGGGTACGTCAACTGACCAGTGACTGCCCACTGAAATTGGACAAGCTCTGTCCTGCCCAGCTGACTTCAACTGGCTGCTGCTTCCACTAACCTTAGACTATCCCAGCAAGACTGTTCTCTATGAGGTCACACTCCCCCTGTATGGTCCGTTATACAAGGCTCAGTGCCGTAAATTGGTGAAAATGAGTTTGGGGCCAAAGGGCTCCACATTGTTTGGGCAGCTGGCAACCAGCAAGAAAGGAATGTGCTCAGCCTTTGAGGAATATGGTGCCATCTACCTTTGATTTTATGAAGTTTGAAAGGTAGATAAAACTACAATGGTGGCTGGTGCTATAACATAACTGCAATATTGATTCTTTTAAACTCGTTAGGTATTATTGCAAATGGTTTGTTCACTTAGAACCCTTCTGCCTGTACTGTCCTGCCTACCCAATACCCATTGTAAATGTTTTGTTCCATCCTTCCCTGTCAAACTGCCCATGTGAATATTTTTCCCATCTGGCACCTGCCACTCCTGCTGGCTGAAATCTGTGCTATGTTCGCCCCCAGGATCGTGCTGCACTCCCACCATGGGCGCCTCTGCCATTCCTCTGGTGATCGTGACACTGTTCTGGGCGGCCATCGGCGGCGTGCTGCCCTTCTTTGTGCGGAAGGGCCCAAACCGTGGCGTCACACAGAGCTGTCTCATCATCACGGCAGTGGTCTGCTGGCTGTTCTGGCTCTACTGCTACATGGCCCAGATGAACCCGCTCATCGGGCCCGACCTCAAGAAGAACATCCTGCTGCTCATGGACCGCCAGTGGGGACACTTCAAGCCGGAGTAATGATCGGGCTTATACACGGCACGCTGGGAGGGCGAGGAGCAGCGAATGCGACTGTGGGGAGAGTCCCAGTGCATGCGAATTTGTCGCAGAACTGAGACCATTTGAGTGATATCTGCTTCTCCAGAGTTGTATCTTTGTTCTTTCTGTGTTAACTGAAAATCTCAAACCGGATTCTCATGAATTTTCTATGACGATGAATTACTATCATATCGTAGCATTCGTATCGCACAGTTTCTTACACTCTTAGTCGGCTTTCGTGTCGTTGAACGGTGGAATTTCTGGTTTCCATTCTGTGTGTCTTCTTCATGTATGGAGTAACTTTTTGTGCCGTTGCCATAACTGTGGCGCATGGTTATGAATGAGTGAATGTGAAGTCATCCAGTAGTGAATAGTTAAATGGCGCATTATGTGCAATGGATAGGATAATTGACGTGCTAGGTAATTAGTTTATTTAGTACCGTGTATATAATATATGTAACGTGAACATAAAATACAGACATTCCAGGGTGACATGCACGGTCGTTTTCTACGAGTTTATTTTATACGGAGAATGCACAAATGTAGCTGAAGTAGCCAGAGACGTCACATTGGAGACACATCGCCAGTTACTTGAGTAATACTGATATCGTACTTGTATCACACTACGAGTCGACGGACAGATGGGCCGGCGGCCCGATCCCCAGGATGTGTACAGTATATCGCAGCAATGTGAATAATCGAAATGTGACCCATGACCTTGCAAGTAACTAAAGAACAAAAAACGATGTCTCTGCCGGAGCCCCTCATCCGGCCAACTTTGTCGCTGGACTTGAGGACACGCTACCCGAATGTCTTATCTAGCCTCCCAAGCCCGCTCCCTACACAAAACATTTCCGGACGCCTGAAATCTCCAAACCTAGAATGCCCTCCACCCGACACCTGCCTCGCTCGTAACTGCCCGGCACTGACGCCCGCTCTGAGGTGTCTTCCTCAGCCAACCTCACCACGGTGGGCTCACTTTCTGGACTCTGCCAGCTTGTACTCTGGCCAGCTGATGAGGCCGTCTCGGTTCCTGTCGGCGTCCAGCAGAGCCAGGTCCACCATCTCGATAATCTTCCACTCTGGGTAATCGGGCGTCTCCTGGCCTGAACCGTCGTCTGAGGAGCGACAGGGTGGGCAGTCAGTGGGGCGCAGGGTTCGAGTGGTTACCGCACGGCCAGGTTTTGTGAGTCAAATGAGATCGCTGCGAGGTCTATGCGAATGATGGATGACGGATGTTGAAGCAATACGTTCGGGTTCCACACGACACACGTGATCGGTTTTTAACTCATTCTAATAAAGCAAGCATAACAGACGTATTTATTTGATGATAGTCACGCTAATGAACAAATGAAAATACCAAGCAATGCACCCCTCGGCACCCACCAACCGTTTGACAAGCCAATCGACTAGGGAGTGGGGACTGGTGAGCAGGGGCTGTGTAGTAGGGCCGCTGGGAGACTCACCTGTCTGTCTCCGTGCGACTGACCGAGCTGGACTGTGCCGTCATCGTCACCATCGGCAGGTGCGGAGCGGCGAACGGACGGGGCTCGCTCGGCCCCCTGTGCTCTCCGTTTGACAACACGTTTTAGTAACTGACACATCGATCCCGAAAAACGGCATGCATGAACACGGAACAGGACACACAGCGAAATCAGACCGCCCTGGGCTGAGACAGCCAAAACTTTCACAAACTAATAACAAAAACCGACCATATATTTGTGACGAACAACCATCTAAACGATCTTCCCACACGCACCGCGGTCGCCAATTACGAGAACGGATGGAGTGGCTGCTCACGGACAAAGGAGCGCCTCTCACATTCACATAACAGACACCAGACGTCGCACCGCCACAACACTAAAGGGCGTGCACACGAACCTCGCAATTGGAATGGTCGCCTGCCGGCAGGTGCCCGATCTCAACTGGGGCACGAGCAACATGTGATATATCCCACCGGTCGCCACCGCCGGTGCATAAGGTCCTATCCCTGGCATTGCACATAGTTGTAACCAGCAATGGGCCAACGGGCAAATATAGACGAAGGGGAGCATGAACCGTGATTACAAAAACACGGACCGGCCCAATACTCGAGCAAACGCATACATGAGCGGCGAAATTTAACCTTCATGTTAATAAAAAAGTAAATAGCCGAACTACGACTGTTTCGAGCCATGTAGTCGAAATCACGCGCAATGCTACGGCGTAAACGCAAATATTTTTTGTTACGGGATTCACATTCACCTTCAAAATAACACCTATGCCAAAAAGAAACGAATAAAAAAAACTCAAGTAATCTCAACAAAATTGTAGCGAAAGGTGCAAACAGAACGTTACCATAATCTCAGGACAGCCGCATTTGAAACATCGAACAAAATGCAAAAAAAAAAAAAAAACAGAAGGAAAAACAGCGCAAATAGCAAATGAATGAAGACAAAAATGCAAATAAAGCAGCTCAGGCATCAAACGAACAATGAATAGCGAAAATGTCATTTGATTAAGTTGCCATGCGCTCTGCACTTTTGAACACGTCATCGCCAATTATTCGTGTTTCGACACAAGGGAAAAGTGGTCTCTGTGCAACGTTAAGCTCATCTGATTACATCATGAGGAATAGCCAAAGACTGTTTATGGAAGCGCAGAAATACGTCCAAAGCATTCCAATATACGCATCGTTGTGCAAAACCATATATGGTAATACGAGCACCATACCTCATTTAATTTGAAACATGCGACCCTGCTATCTTCCGCAAATAATTCCAAATATAATTTCTGATAATATCCACGCAATCCCGCTCATGCGTTATAAAAATAGATGCATCTCGCGCAGTCGGCGTCATATGAGGATCAGCGTCACATCCTGAACATGTATCCTAGACTGGCGCTGATTGGTGCCACCCACAGACGACGCTCAGCCGTCAGACGGTCATCAGCGCGGCTGTCATCAGCTTCGTCAGATCAGACACATCACCAGACACCGAGCGGCCGGGACAGCGGTCTGTTCGGGACCACATACTGACCGGGCGGGGACAGCAGCCCGTCCCCGGCCGGCGCTCCGCAGCCGCCGGCTCCGGTCACTCCACATACCTACACCCTACTCCCGATCACCTGACACCTATCCCGCCTGGGCACCGCCCTCTCCTTCCTCAGAGACCTCTGTCTGTGCGTCCGAGCACCCCCGTCCATCCCCCGGCTGGCCTGAGCTGGCAGTCACCGAGTCTGTGCACCGCACTCACACCTAGGCGGGCATGCCGTGCTGCTGCTGCTGCTGCTGCTGCTGCTGCGGCGGCGGCGGCGGCTGGTTCTGCTGCGCCAACATGAACTCGGAGTAGTCGATGTAGCCGTCCCGGTTGCGGTCGTCCTGGTCGATGATGGGATCGATCAGCTCGAACAGCTCCTGGTCGGTGAAGATCTTCTTCTCGGGCACCGGGTGGCCGGGCTCGTGGTTGGACTGGTCTGCGCGCGGCACGGACGGCCCGGTCAGCCGGCGGACAGGGGGGGAGGAGGGGGCACACACGGGACACCCGTACAGAGCGGCACACGGCACCTCCACCAGACCCGCTGACACGGCGGCACTCATCAGCGGTGGGGGGGGGGCGGAAAACAGGACACAGAGGACAGGACAGACAGTCGGCCACACCGTGGTTTCAATGACGGCCGTATGACGAAAGAAAGTTCTGCTTCATTGAAAGGTACATCACCCAATTTAAGGAAATACGTGTCTGAGCTAATGACGATGCATGGCAAAGGCTCAAACTTGCTTCACTGACGGCATTTATGTGATCCGTAATGCCTGTGAGGCAAGTGGTAGCAACACAGCATCTGTGCACCTTTATCATATAACTGACGGGAACAGGTGCTAAATGACAGGCCCGGACAATGGCAACGGTCTCAGCTGGTGAGACGATACTGACGTTCGCACGAGGGATAGACGGAAAACGTATACATTAAAATGGGAATAAGGTTAATCATTAAACAAGATAAGGGAATCTTCCTCAGAAGAATGGAGCGATTAATGAAAAATAAAGGGATGAGATAAAAAATACCGGAGTAGTTTATATACCTAAAAAGACAATGACCTCAGCCCGCAGCCGTCTCGTAAAAACGCAGTGACTGACACAGCCATACCCCCACTTTCCCCACACAGTGAGGACACCACACCCCGCCTTCCAGCACCATACCGTCACCAGCACCACACTCCCACCCCCTCGGCGACGGACCACCACCGCCGCCCTCCTTACCGTGCCAGTGCTGCAGCGAGGCCACCAGCTCGAGGCCGTCCAGCTTGTTGTTGCCGTCGGCGTCGTGCATCTTGAAGTAGTGGAACTGCAGCTCTTCCTCGGACATTTTGGACGTGTCGATCGGCGCCCCCAGGTGCTCCTTGATGTGACTGACGGTGAAAGTGCGGCAGCGGTGAAATACGGAGACCTTTTGATAGATGTGTGGGACCTATTTTAAGGTGTTTGTTAAAAGAAATATCAAATCAATCATTAAGTTGCAAGTTTATTCATTCCTTTATTCATTCATCAAATGGTTTCATTCATTCATCCATTCACCCATTCATGCACCCATTCATTCATTCATTATTCATTCATGCATCAGAAGTCTTCGGCTTTTGGAGTTTCCGTCTTTCCGAGTCCAGCACACAGAATCGAGCACACCGAACTACTCGAAGTACGGTATCCTTACTCTTTTTCGGCGGTGATTTGCTGTTTGTCCCTGAGAATGGCCTGCTGCTGACCGTGACCGCCGTGGCCGTGACCGTCCTGCCGAAGAGACGATTTCACGAGTCAGTTAGGACTTAGGAGGCGGTAGAGCGCTCTACAGGGATCAGATTGATTGCAATAATCTAAATAAATAGAAACAAAAGGCAATTTGACGCGTTCGTCAAAGGTTCGTGAAGACGTTATTGAAATCCAATCATCAAACAGAATAGGTACACTGAACCAGACAGCATAACATAACGGTAACAGCGGCCAATGCCGGTGCCGAATGGAGAAGGCAGAGATGCACAGGTGTAAAAATCCCGCACGATTTCCTGTTGCCGTTTCCCGTCAATTTCCTGTGCGGCCGAGGGGCCGGTCGGCTGAGCGCCCAGTCACGGCGCCGGTCGGATTATCAGAGCGGTCGGACCGGTCCGGATCCTCCGGCGGGTGGACAAGCCGCGATCGGGAGCGGTACGGCACCGACGGAGCCTGGGCGCCCAACGAACGGAACACGGGGAACAGACAGATGGCTGCAGGGACAGGGGACTGGATGACAGGGAAGTAGGACATTGACAGCATGGATGTCAAGCAGGTGGAGTAAATGCATTGAAGGGCCAGGACATGGGCGAAGTGACAGAGCAAACACACTCACACACTCACACAGGTGCTGCAAATGGTCATTTTTCATACCTAACCATGAAACCTAACCATTTTTTATGAGAAAAATTTAAGGCTAAGCTTACCGTGCGCTGGAACTGCTGCTGCGGAACACCCTGCTGTGGCTGCTGGGGAGGCGGCTGCTGGAATTGCTGCTGTTGTTGAGGAGGTGGCTGCTGGAACTGTTGCTGTTGTTGAGGAGGTGGCTGCTGGAATTGCTGCTGCTGGGGTGGAGGCTGTTGGAATTGCTGCTGCTGCTGCTGAGGTACCTGACCAGGCTGCTGGTAGTGGTTCGGGTTGACACCTGGAGGCTGGCGATACTCAGCCTGCACCATGTGCACCACTAGCACTGATACTACCAGATAGATGTGCATGACTTCTGCAAGAGAAATAATTCATGTGCTTATTGGCAGAAAGTTATCTTTATTGAATGAACTCTGCCTCAATCATTGAAAGTAGTCCTTGAATTTGCTTAACAGAATGAAGCAGATGAAACCAAGAAGGTCATGACCAATGAAACAAATCAATACCTATGTTATGCAATCATAAACTTTGCGGCTGCGGCTTGACGTTAACATGAACTGATAGCAACAAGACGGATTGTGAAGGCGTTATTATTCATAAACACTACAAATATAAGCCAAAAAAATTAAAAAATTATGTGCCATTCCTTTGGAACCCTTTCTCCGAAGCAATGGCTATTTAGTAGCATATACCTAAAATGAAGTGAATAAATTTAATTTTTGACCGAGGCAAACAAACTTAAATCGATATGGTTACTTTCTCACAAAAAGCTCACCTGATAGAGGAAGGTAATGTTTTAAATTTGCCCACTAAATTTACAATGTTGAGAGACAGTCAGGCTAAAAATAGCGAAAATACAGCCAAAACACGCTTATTTAACCACTACATATACAACACAGCGCACATCGCGGGCTCTGGTATTAACTGGATAATTCGCCAGCTGACGCCGTATGGTGGCGCTAGTGGAGCAGCACCATATGACGTCAGCAGAAAACACCGTGAGCAGCTATGAAATGGGAACGAGCACCACGGAAATATCGAAAGGTGATGGACATGTACTGACTTTGGTCATTCAAGTACCACCAACACCATACAAAAACCATATAATATTATCAAGACTGATTCTGGAATCGATTTGTTCGGGTATTTAAAACACACAAAAAATGTTTGTTACCGAATTCTGAAACAGTATAAGGATATTCTTGTTCCTTACTTTTGCCTTGTGGAGTACTTTTACTTGCTTTCTAGTGCGCCCATCACTATCTTGAAATCTGGATTGCAACGCTGTAGGAAAACTTTATTTCATTTGTCATTTCTTCCACTTTTGAGCAGTGATAATTTATTTGGGTTTATACATTCAATAATGAAGACGGCTCCTAACTTTTTAGGGATCTGCAGTGGCTCTGAGAGTAAAATCAGATATTTTCTAGAAACTTGAGGCCACTATTTTCTTATATGCTAGATAATATACAAATATTGACATGTAAAGAATGATACGGGTGTATAATTCTGCATAAATATCAATTCAAAGTATTTAAATTTTTCAAGAACCTTTTTAATTCTTCCATAATGACTTCTTTCAATACAAGCTGGAAGCAATTTCAATCAATAAAGCAGCACAAGGCAGTACATTGAGCTACAATGATCCATAACCAATCGGCACCTGCAATTTGATTGATCTTCGAGATGTACCCTGCCTGTTTCCTGACTTTCCCTTTTCGTTGTACTGGGTGAAGTGAATATTCTGTGAATATTCTTCTGACAGTCAGTTTTTAATCCTACATTATGTTGTCAATCAGATTTAATTGGTTCAAAAACCGTCGTAGTCCGTCTCATTCGCAGTCTACATCTCCACATGCGCACCCATACATGCTCAAAATTTTCACTACGTATGTACTATGTACCCTGCAGCGTATCCTGATGAAAAATGTTTTGTTGAAATCAGAGACACTTCCCAAGGTAGGCCATAGTACATGGCCATATATTTAAGTCAAAACAGATAAACAGATAAACACAATTCCAATCATCAAGTCAACCAGCATCGACAATCTGCACATAAGTTCTAAACCTATTGTAAGACTACTTTGTATTCAAACTTTGTATTGCAGAAGGGTGGAAGCTGCATGGAATTATGCGACAATTTCAGCGTGCATCCACGCTCGAAAGAGCAGGGTTAATTGTAACAATGTCAATACCATAATAACGTAATTGTAGGTGTTGTGATTCGGTTGTCTCTTGCTGGCCATTGCGCGGGCGGTCCAGCGGCGGAACTCGGCTTCGCCGCCGTGGCGCGCTGGCAGTTGCTTCTTCTTCTTCTTCTGCATCCCATTGCCAACCCGCTCAGGGGGGCGGCGGCGCAGGCGGGTCGAGCGGCGGCTCGGTCCGCCCAACATCCTCGATGAAGGTGACGACCTTCGTCGCCGGGCCGCCGAGGACGTCGACCAGGCGAGGGTCGACACCCCAGCGGCGGCGGCGGGCCGCCTCATAGGCCGGACAATCGGTCAGTAGGTGCGCCGCGCGGTCGGGCTCCCCGCACGCGGGGCATTCGTCGTCGGCTTCCGGGCCAATCTTGTGGAGCGTGTCACGGGTCAGCGGTGATGTGCCGGTCCTCAGCTGGGACAGCGTCACCGACCCCAGCGCGCCAGGGAGTCGTGGCCAGGCGTGGGGTCCGGGTGCGGGTGGGCAGCGGTTGCCCTCTGTCGCGACAGCTCCCGGACATGGCGCGTGACGGCGGCCCGCGCACTCGACAGGTCGATCGGTGCGCTGTCTTGGTCGCCCGCCGTGGCCTCGCCAGCCAGGAGGTCGGCGGTTTCGTTGCCGTCCAGCCCGGCATGGCCTGGCACCCACTGGAGCACCGTCTCGGTGCCGTTCTCGGTGAGGGTGCTCAGCACTCAGCAGCCTCCACACCTCGGCGGCCAGGGCCATGGTCTGGTTAGCTGGGCCGCGGCCAAGTAGTTGGAGCCCAGACCTTGAGTCGGTGAGGAGGCGGACCGACTTGGTCGATGCCAACTCCCCGTCCTCCAGGCCGGCCACAGCCGCGAACGCCTCGCGCATGGCGGTCAGTTCTGCTCTTAGGCTGGAGCAGACCGCCCCTGCAGGAGCGCGCACGGTCTCTTCTCTGTTGAGGTGGTGGAACTGGATCAGCGCCTGCGCCGCCCTGTTCCGTCCGCCGCGAGCCGAGCCGTCCGACCAGATAGTGACGTCCGGGTGCGGGAGCTCTGCAATGGCTCGCAGGGCAGCTTCCCTGCGGACTGCAGGCGGGTCCGACCGGCGGGTGGCCACGGGCAGGTCCACCCTGAAGGTGATGCCGCTGCGGTGGCCCAGCCATGGCGGGTCGCAGCTGTAGAACGCCGAACCTGTAACACAATAGAATTGCAATTGTAACAAAGACCTGCATGGTCAGCACACATCTGTCATCTGCAGTGACTGTCATCCCAAGTTGGTATGAATTGGCACAAAGTTGGGTCATGGTAGCACTAGCAGACGTAGCACAAGCTGTTGTGATATGCCATACCGTAGGACTAGGTCGTAGGTTGTAAATTTTAGGTTTAAGGCTGTAGGTTGTAGGTCAGGTTAGGTAAGGTTTGGTTAGAAAGACCCATTCTCGTGCATCGGGCAGCTTGTGCTACATCTACCTTACCAATACCCAATTTGGATTCCCAAAATTGATGGCAAACAGGCTTTTTGTATAACAAGTGTGGTTAATTGTTCTAATCCCCGCTGCAATGTGAGGGTAACTGCTTTTCTACAATCACAAAATTTGAATTCATATAGGTAGGTGTTTACATGTTCAGAAAATGATACAAAATATGACACGATTATAGCTGCAACTGGATAATGGATACCAACCTCAACTAAAAGTTTCTGCAGCCTTATAACCTAACAAATGACTAAATTGCCAAAATAAATCCCTTAGTACAATAGCTTGACTCTAAAAAATAACAGAAATTTTGCATGCAGACCCTCTGAAATGGAGGGTTTATGAAAAGTAACAAAAATAAACATTCACCAATATCAATATGTTGTTATAAATTTCATATGTAGCATAAGCGCCAATACTGCCTTCATTTACAATGTTGCTACTGTTTTCCACTCACAAACGCTGCCCTCCGTGGACAGCAGCAGCAGCAGTGAAACGTCACCCGTGGTGTGACATCATCACCCATGACGTAATGGAAATCCAGTTGTTACCAAGGCCCCACATCGCACCCAGGCCCATGTCGTCCCCTATCTCTCTGCGTGTCCACTAACACGAATGACGTCACGCATGTGGGCGGAGCTATGGGCGGAGCCTAACGCACGCGGCAGTCCAAGCCGCCATATTTGAATTTATATTTTAATAGAATCTTGCCGATATTTTGGGTGAAGTCAATTTATATGGATAGCTTGGTGACAGTTTAGCTATACGAATAATAATTTATTATGGATGTGCGTATATTCAGCTTGGAATTGCAATTAAAGTTCCGCACCGCATAGATTCGAACTCGGGACCTTCGGAATACTGCGCGGGCACGCTAACCACTACACTACCGCGACCGCGCGGCGGCCGGCGGCAGGGAGGCTGCGGAGACATGGGGGGGACATGTGAAAAAAGCAAAAGATTTAGCGAAAAACAGGTAATAGATAACTTGCAGAAAATTGTCTGCTCTTTCAGATAAGATACTTAGGTTTGATATATCTTGTGCAGACTTCATTCTACAGTGCTTCGAAAATCGCTCATTTACATGGAGATTGAACGGGGCTTCGAGACTTGACTCCAAATGACGTCACGAGCTGACGTCACGAAAAGGTAGAATCGCCGGACGACCCTACCTGGTATATAGGGCCTTGATCGCACCCCGGCGAACCAGAACAGCTGTACACAAATGTGCGACTTGTGCCACTACTTTGTACACGTCAGAACACAAAATATATGCTGTATGACGTCAATATAAAAGTTTTTGTAATTATGCTAAATTTTTATTTTCAATAATTATTTTGCAGTTAAAAAGCTGAACTTTATATGAAAAGCAATACTGAGGATGATTCAATTTTTAACTGAATACGTATGTGGTTAATCAATTCAACACATATTGTAATCCAGGAACAACACGAATAACAAAGGCATATGTTTTATGTTCCTGTAGTAATCGATTGAAAAAAATATTGTTATTGTATTCATTGCTTTTACTGTTCGTTTTTCATTCAATTTTTCGGCTGTAGGCATCATTTCACTGTTATCTTATTTTGACGTCATATATTAGCGGCAAATATCGCATGCCAAGCATGCTAAACATTTTGCGACATTTATGATGTGTATGATACAAAAGCGATGCTAACCGCTAGGGGCGCTGACATCGATTCGCTGTGTTATCGTGAACCAGCAGACAACCGAGAGCTTGAGCTGGGAAATCTCCGACGGGAAATTGGCACGCAGTCGTGGCTCGTGTTTGTGGTTGTGAGGTCGGGTTACTGGCTACTGGTGTCTGGGGCCTTGCGAGTGCTTGTGAAGTAGGTCAGGAATATTTGAAGGAATAGCGTGAGTATTTCAGTTGGGCAAACTAGACCTTTGGAATCAAAATATGGAGGCATCAAAAGATTGATTCCTTATGACCATATTTGGGCAAAAATGCAGACCATTTCTAACTTACCAATCACATAAAAATAAGAGAGTGTTTCAAGAAGGAGCATGCTTGATCTTGAAGAGAAATGCTGGAACTATCTCCTAAGCAAAATAATATTGCTCCTATCACAACAATTTGAATTCTATAGGTAGTGAAAGGCAATCAAGGAATTGATTCACTTTAAACAGATAATCATAATATTGATTCCCCATCAGCTGGCTAATCATTATTTTGATTCACAGGTAATGTTAACAGATAGGCAACAATGACTTGCAAGAATACAGCATTTATCTTGCTATTATTCTCATTTAGTGGTATCCTCAGCACCACAACAGATACCTATAGCATTGTTGTACTTTACCTTCACTACATTTGATAACAATTCACAATTTTTAAATGTCAAGAATACAAAAACTGAAGCAACAGGTAAAAACCATATAAATAATACAAAACCACTACAACAATGATAATTAGGGGTTTAAAAATTTAATTTTGCCATTTTACACACATACTGATTGTTAAGTATGTGATTCATGATACAAAAATAACATACAGTGTGATTTCCTCAAAACAGCTTTTACGTGATGGACAGTGGCTCTGTCTTTTTCCCATTCACAAGGCCAAAGGGACAATTTCTTAGCTTTGAGGTAACACTTTTTGCAAACCTACCACATTTTTCTACCTTTTTAAAGAAAATTCTCACCGTCATGGGCCTTTTTTCAACCGTAACGATACATTTGAAGTCAAAAGTGTACCCAAATGAATCAAAAAATTGATTCCATGCCCATATTTGGTCAAGGCTCCTCCCACCAGAATCAAATTATTGATGCCTCCATATTTTGATTCCGAAAGTCTAGTTTGCCCAACTGATTTTATGTTGATTGCATTAAACCATTTTTGCTGGTTGTCGCATCCTCTCACAACGTGCACTGAAGCTTTTGACTGTCTTACAAGTTACAACGCGGTTCAGGTTGTTTTTCTTCGTAGGTAAATGTTTATTTCATTTGGAGTTTTCTATGTTTGCTCATTTTCCAATCGCTGTCACGATAATCAAAAGTTTTCTGTGTAATACAGCTCCATTATCTTTAGTCTTTACTCAGAAAGTTCCACTAGATACTTCCTGTTGCCGTAAACTCGTACAAAAAGCAGTTAACAACACCGATCATGCCAAGGGATCATGCTTCAGAAAGGAGGCCTAGCCTCTTTTTTTAGGTGGTTTAACTGGTTTAAATGGTAGGTGCCCATGTGTATTACATATGCTACCTACAAGTTACAACGTGAAGAAATAATCTAGGACTAATCCATATTTGCTATGGTATCGCCGTTCTGTATCCTCCAAATTGGCGATTTTTTTAATGGAAATGAAATGGGTTTGAGCCCATTACCCTTGCCGTGACCCCAGGGGTGAAATCGCGCTGTTCCTAGTTTGGTTTGCATTCACCTTCGGTGGCTCAGCTGTACTAGTTTCTACGGTGAACAGCCTCGTCGAGTCCAGGCCAGGCGTCTGTGGCTGACCTCCCTCCGAAGAGCCATATCCCTCGTTTGGGTTATCAGCGTGGTCTTTTTCGCACTTGATCGCTGCCGCCGTGTTTTGAAGATGTCTTGTAAGTTGTATGCACGTTTTACTTAATCACTCACCAATCGAACCGCACCTCGGTTCCTGAGCAAAGCTGTACTATTTGTGGGCCTGTCCGGTGTTCACGGCCGGGGGCGCACGCCACATGGCGCCACTGGGCATGAGATGCAATTTTTGTGGTTAAATGATTCGTCCAACTTCAATGGCTACAAAAGACGCAATGTTAACGGGTTCTACGCGAATGTGAGCACGTCTGATCCATACAAATGTTCATCTGCATGAAAGTGTGTAGGCACGTCGGAAAAAATGTGTTACCTTGTAATTCATAAGGTTCATAACCATCCCTTGGATTCCCAGGACGAGCCCTTCCTCATCCATTATCAAGCTTCATTGTCTGGGACGATGGCCACGCAGCCAGCAGCATTGTGCTTCGGTGAGGGCATCTCCAATGCTGCAGAATGCCCCTCCGGGTGACCGTTTGAGCAACGTGGGCGGCCTCAAGATTACTTTACTACTCGGCGGCCTGTCCACCGGAGCACATCAATGCCAACGGGACGAGCTTAGCCTCTGTGACTCACTAGCCGTTGGTTGAATCAGTCAAGTATCTTTCCTTTTTCCCGAATGTCACAGCCGGGCTTGCGAGGCCGACCGCCGTCCGGCTAACCCGTTTCGTTTGCTGGCGGTATGCTGTGCGGAATGCAGCTGGCACCCAAAGATATCGATCCTAAAAATCGACTTAACCATCACCCCAAACCGATCAGGCTACGGCTTCAGGCTACGGCGTCTCCCGATTTTAGCCGACCACAGTAGTTTTGTAGGCCTCAGGTGGAACCAAAGAGTCCCAAAATCCTCTATGGCCCATTTGCCCCGCTAGTTTGAGTCGCGGTGCATATGTCTATGGTCTTTCGCAGCCTGGGATTTGCCGTGACCTTTGACCGCCGTTTGGCCCGTTTCAGCTCGTGCTCAATAAGGGCCGTCCATGACGGTTACATATCAGACCGAGGTCGCGTCCATACGCAACTTCGGCGTCTTCTGGAAGCTCCTCTTCCGGTGAGTTAGATCGACTCCTCATAATACGGCCTTAGTGCTCCGCCTCCGGGGAGTCGCGAATCGTAATAATCGTATATATCGTAATAATCGTAATAATCGTAATAATCGTAATAAGTGGATGGTCACTAAAACGCTGTTTTTATATTATTGCACCCGCTTGTGTTTTAACATTTCCCTTGTGCTCTCTTATGTATCATTGTTTTTAGTTTTGTTTTACTAAATGCTTGCATTTACAGCCTAATATGGCCCGTACACATTTAGTGCACCCGGCACGTCAATGCATTTATTTGAATACCCACCACATCGCCCACCACTCCCGCCACACCGGACTGGAGCTGGATGTGTGACTATTTTGGCACGATTTCAGATGGAGGGGCAGCATATACAAGTTGGTCTGGCCGGACCTGTCGCTGTACATCGTGCTGTACTTTACTCTCAACATGTCGTACCGGTTCGCCATGAACGAGCACCACCGACAGTGAGTAGCAGTCTTCCGCGGTCCTGGCACGTATAATGCTCGTGGCGGGGGACGTTACGAGTGGGTCAGTTTAGCGGGGTCCTTGTGCTGCAGCTGCCTCAGACGATTTTCGCTTTGTTCCTACATCTTAAAATGGTCTGTGTTTTACCTTTGATGTCCTGGAGCCGCTGCAATGCTGATTTCGTTTTACATTCACCTCGGGGGTTGAAATGCAGCGCTTTATCGTGGGAAGACACACGATGCTACACCGTTGCTGCATTGAGAATGATCCATGAATTATTTTAAGCAAAGTAAATTTTGCAAGCCTCCCAGTCGCAGCCAACTGCTGTCCTGCGGGCTATGCCTTCTGACTGGTAACACTCTGACCGGTGACCTTAACTCTAACCAATGACCCCGGCTGTCTGACCGGTGACCCAGCGCTCTGACCGATGACCCGCCCGCTGACCCCCTCCCCCCTCCGCGGCAGGCTGTTCGAGGAGGTGTCGCGGTACTGCGCCAACTTCAGCACCTTCATCCCCATGTCGTTCGTGCTCGGCTTCTACGTCACGATCGTGGTGAACCGCTGGTGGGAGCAGTACCTGGCCATGCCCTGGCCCGACCCGCTCGCCGTCTTCGTCAGCACAAACATCCACGGCAATGTGAGTACCGAGTAGGTACCTTAGGGATCTTAAAGTACGGCATTATGATTACCGATTGCATACACATAACACAAGTCGGCTTCCAAGTACGGCAATCCTTTCACTGACCGGCCACGGGGCTCACTTAGTACGGCAATTTGAGCAGCGGAGAACATTTATTACGACAATACGAGAAGTGAGAGACATTTATTACGGTGACGGGAGACAGGTTTATGCATTAGCAAAAAGATCCTTCAGCAATGTGAGAAACGCATGACAACGCATGCACGGCAATGTGATAATTATAGGAACACTGGCCCGGGCCCCTGCTGCCGCCCTGCGCCGACTGGCATCGAGAATCGATCAGCGAACAACTACATAAGGCAAGGGTCTGCAGGGAATAATCAATTATTTAAAAGCAATGTAGACAAAACGTTGGCTCAGTATACATCTTGCTGCCAGTCGGGCCCTTTGTAAAGCTAGGGGCGTCCATTGTCGATCTCCGCTATATCGATCCATGGCGGCCGGCTGTCGGGCTGACTGGCCGTAGTGAACTGCTGTGGAGTGGCCCTGGGTGTCATGGAACCACAACGGACCCGACTTGCAACACCACCGCGGAATGTGCCTGTATTTGTGACCGGATGATATTTATTAGAGTGCATTGTATATTATTATATATTACCAGAGGGCTTGTGATTGGATTTGTGATTTGCTTGCTATTGCCAAACATTTTTTTCTTCAGAATTTTGGTAACTCAAGAAAATGAAGGAAGTTACTGAAGACACAGGCACCGTTATAGGAAACATTGGAAGTTCGTGTGTTTTGTGGCTGGCCGTGATTACCAACTTTACCGATGTCTCTTCCCCGTCTCTTTCTCCTTCTCGCTCTGCCTCTCTCACCTTCTTCCCTCTCTCCCTCTCGCCCTGTGCCGCTCCGAGCCCAATATAGAGAGTGGGCGGGGCGGACCGGCCGCCGCCCCGTTCCCGCTGTGTGCGCTGTATGTAGCATTTGGCACCGATCACAGGGACAAGTGTCAGGCCAGGTAGCGTGGTTTGAGAGGGTGGTGTGTGCTCGACTTACACAAAAAAAAACCTAGTGGCGTTCATTACATGAATTACGTCGCTTGGCTTTTATTAGGATGGAGAGTTACGTAGTCAAGTGGATGAGATGTCGCTGTTTCATGCTGGGACAGGAAGTGATGCTGACTACTGAAGCGGTTTGTGCTTATCGAGAGAAATCACATTACGCCCAACGACATTATTATGCCACACTCGGAGCTCTTATGAGTCAGCAAAATTAATGGCTCACTAGAATCACACGGAAAGTAAAAGTAGCACTAGCGCAATTCTCGTTATTAGTTGTGTCCCACAAACTACGAGTATAGCCATGGTAGCCTTCTCGAAAGATGCGGAAATGATGGATTGCTAAAAGTTATATATGTTGGTAACTAGATAACTTGAAATCGAAAACTAAGTTGCCTTACGGTCTCGTTCTCATCGTTCTCGGAAGTCGTCCGGAGTCGCCTGATGTCGAGCACAGTCCAACTGTAATGTCCAGTTATAACCGGTCCCAGTGTTTGTCAACCGTAACAAAAGGTCGCGTGGCAGGGTTTTATGACCCTTGTTTTATAATTCAGGAACCCCGGCCCGAGCATCGTTCAAGTTGCCTTGAAGCGGTCACCGACCGTGTCAGTGCTCGGGGCAGTGTGTCGTCTGCAAATTACCGCCGGGGTTTCACTGCGCTGCCGTACAGCTAAACCCCGTGAGATAGACTGTGTCGCAGTACAGCTAAACGCCGTAAGATAGACTGTGCCGCAGTACACCTAAGCGCCGTGAGATAGACTGTGCCGCAGTACAGCTCATCGCCGGCAGTTAGACTGTGCCGCAGTACAGCTAAACGCCGTAAGATAGACTGTGCCGCAGTACAGCTAAGCGCCGTGAGATAGACTGTGCCGCAGTTCAAAAGAGCGCCGTTAGATAGACTGTGCCGCAGTGCAGCTCATCGCCGGCAGTTAAACTGTGCCGCAGTACAGCTAAACGCCGTGAGATAGACTGTGCCGCAGTACAGCTAAGCGCCGTGAGATATACTGTGCCGCAGTACAGCCGAGCGCCGGGAGATAGACTGTGCCGCAGTACAGCTAAACGCCGTGAGATAGACTGTGCCGCAGTACAGCTAAGCGCCGTGAGATATACTGTGCCGCAGTACAGCCGAGCGCCGGGAGATAGACTGTGCCGCAGTACAGCTAAACGCCGTGAGATAGACTGTGCCGCAGTACAGCTAAGCGCCGTGAGATATACTGTGCCGCAGTACAGCCGAGCGCCGGGAGATAGACTGTGCCGCAGTACAGCTAAACGCCGTGAGATAGACTGTGCCGCAGTACAGCTAAGCGCCGTGAGATATACTGTGCCGCAGTACAGCCGAGCGCCGGGAGATAGACTGTGCCGCAGTACAGCTAAACGCCGTGAGATAGACTGTGCCGCAGTACAGCTAAGCGCCGTGAGATATACTGTGCCGCAGTACAGCCGAGCGCCGGGAGATAGACTGTGCAGCAGTACAGCTAAACGCCGTGAGATAGACTGCGCCGCGGTACAGCTAAGCGCCGGGAGATATACTGTGCCGCAGTACAGCCGAGCGCCGGGAGATAGACTGTGCCGCAGTACAGCTAAACGCCGTGAGATAGACTGTGCCGCAGTACAGCTAAGCGCCGTGAGATAGACTGTGCCGCAGTTCAAAAGAGCGCCGTTAGATAGACTGTGCCGCAGTGCAGCTAAGCGCCGTGAGATATACTGTGCCGCAGTACAGCCGAGCGCCGGGAGATAGACTGTGCCGCAGTACAGCTAAACGCCGTGAGATAGACTGTGCCGCAGTACAGCTAAGCGCCGTGAGATAGACTGTGCCGCAGTTCAAAAGAGCGCCGTGAGATAGACTGTGCCGCAGTACAGCTAAGCGCCGTGAGATATACTGTGCCGCAGTACAGCCGAGCGCCGGGAGATAGACTGTGCCGCAGTACAGCTAAACGCCGTGAGATAGACTGTGCCGCAGTACAGCTAAGCGCCGTGAGATATACTGTGCCGCAGTACAGCCGAGCGCCGGGAGATAGACTGTGCCGCAGTACAGCTAAACGCCGTGAGATAGACTGTGCCGCAGTACAGCTAAGCGCCGTGAGATATACTGTGCCGCAGTACAGCTAAGCGCCGGGAGATAGACTGTGCCGCAGTGCAGTTAAGCGCCGTGAGATAGACTGTGCCGCAGTACAGCTAAGCGCCGGGAGATATACTGTGCCGCAGTACAGCCGAGCGCCGGGAGATAGACTGTGCAGCAGTACAGCTAAGCGCCGTGAGATAGACTGTGCCGCAGTACAGCTAAATGCCGTGAGATAGACTGTGCCGCAGTACAGCCGAGCGCCGTGAGATAGACTGTGCCGCAGTACAGCTAAATGCCGTGAGATAGACTGTGCCGCAGTACAGCCGAGCGCCGTGAGATAGACTGTGCAGCAGTACAGCTAAGCGCCGTGAGATAGACTGTGCAGCAGTACAGCTAAGCGCCGTGAGATAGACTGTGCCGCAGTACACCTAAGCGCCGTGAGATAGACTGTGCCGCAGTTCAAAAGAGCGCCGTTAGATAGACTGTGCCGCAGTACAGCCGAGCGCCGTGAGATAGACTGTGCCGCAGTACAGCTAAACCCCGTGAGATAGACTGTGCCGCAGTACAGCCGTGTTGTGCAAGACAAACTAAATTCGCCATCTGCGGTCTTCACAAGCGTTGCGGTAAGGAAGCTCTCGCCCTGAGCAGACAGTTAGGTTGCCGGTTCCACCGCATGGTAATTCGTAGTGACATCCGTTCCGCGGCACCAAGTTCCGTCCTGTCCGCTCAGTGGACTGCAATATCCGGACCGGTCGGGAGCCGCAGTCTGACCCAGTGTCGACCCCGGACCCAGCGTCCAGCGCTCGACTCAGCTCGGCGGCGGGCCAGGCCGGGTCGGTACACTGCAGCTGACCACACCCCATGGCACCGCCTCGGGTCGGTGCACCGCAGTGGGCCGGCAGTCCATGGCTGAGGTCAGTGCACCGCACTCGTCCGCAGTCTCCTCGGGTCAGCTCAACGCAGCTGACCACACCCCGACCCCATGACGTTGGTTTCGGTCACCACACCTCACGGGACCGTCAGTCCCCTCGGGTCAGTACACCGCACCGGGCCGGCAGCCCGTGGCACGGTGCACGTGATGTGCATGTCACGCCTGCTGCGCGCCGGGTGACGCACGTCCTGCCGCGGCGATATTGGGCCACCTGGCAGCCTCCAATCGAGCCGTGCCGGCGGCGGCAATCATGGCGGGACATCGGCAGTCAGTGCCTGGCTCGGCCGGGGCGGGGTCAGCGGCAGCGGTGCCTCGGAATGGCTCACAGGGGTGCGATGAAGTGGCTCGGCACGAGGGTGAAACTCCTGAGGAATTAGGGTATTGTGCCTTGGTCCTTAGATGTGTTTTATGTTAGACTCTGAGATTTGTAATGTGCATGATGCTTCCTTCCTACTACAACCAAAAATGTCCCAATAGGTATTTTATTTCAAACAGGCTGGTCAAAGCTAGATAGCTACGCAAATTTATTGCAGCTGCAATGTTTTACTTTTATTTCTATGTCCAGCCCAGCTGCCTCAAAAGTCTCAGAACCACATTTATATTATTTGAATCAATGAACACCTCTGACTTTGTCATATTGATAGAGCGAACCAGTGTCTGGGATTTAGGGCGCCGTTTCAAACGGACAGGCGTACGTATAATAAACACACTTCCGCTATATGTATAGTCGACTACAGAATGATGTTCCACTTTTCACAGGCAATTATTTGCCTGGAGTGGTAGGCTGTGCCGCATCACACGGGCTGAGTTCACAAATTATAGCTTTGTCCCAATGCTTACAATCGACACGCTTAATTGCGTGATAAACGGCACAACTTAGCGCTGCGGTCAACTGATAGCTTCTGAGGAGTGGAACATCATTCTGTAGTCGACTATACATATTATA